CATATGATGAACATCATCCCAAGTCCCCTATGTGTTGACAACAGCACTTGTGATAACAATATGGTATTTAAAGCTAGTTTTTGGCTAGTTTCAACTTGCATTTTTATTCAGTTCATTTATGTATGCTTGTTGACATCAGACAAAGCTGACAACACACAAATCAAAACGCTTTAAATCACTTTGAACAAGTTATTTTGATTGTCATGGTTAACTTACGTCAAGGGCAATAATGGGTATGCTCCACAAAACAACCTCTCTTCCCCAAAAATAACATAACTTTTAGATGACCATGCCATTATTGCTGTTTGACTTTTCAGCTGCAGCAAATGCATCCATTTGGGCTTTTTTATTCATATTTACTGACAAAGTTTGAGATGTTGCCTTCACGTTTTAAATGGGGTGGTCTGACTATTTGTTGCATACCAATATTTAACTCATCTTATAATTGCTATGTAGCTTAGAGTATCCCAGTGTTAAAAATGTAGTGCATATATATAGTACAGTCATTTGCCGGTCAGTAAACCATGACAACTATAGAAAACACCCGGTTAAAGCAGCCATAAGGGACCACTTTAAGAAATTTGGGTCAAATAACTAAGAATATGGAACAAAATAAACCCATTGCATGCCTTGTGGCATCATAATTTGTCTTATGACAAAACTCAACGTATTAAAGCATAAAATGGCTAACTCTGGTTACCAATCATGTGTTGAAAGCAGATAAGGTAAGCAATTACTTGGTCCACAGGAGGCTTACTGGCTTCTTCCTGCTCCCTCAAAACAAAAATTCAGTACCTTTTGCATGGTCTGCTGGCAGACATAGTCATCCTGCTCCCCCCCCCCCCCAAATATAAATATCAATCATGCCCACCAACCTCCGAGATTAAAATGCGAAACAAATAGGAGGCGTGCATGATAAACATCTCCAGAGGGCAGAATTTCGCCATCAAGCGCTTCTGTATTAGCTGCGTCAGGTCTGCCCCAAAGCTCCATATGGCAGCATCAGAATAGCCTTACCAGATAGCCTGGTGAATCAGACACTTGAAAGGCTTGGATTTATCATTATCGAGCACCGCCATAAACCAAGAAAACGGTTAACCGAAGGTTTAAGAGGGCAAAAAGGGCGGTAAAAATAAGTTCCGTGCTTCAAATTGTCTCCATTTCCCGTGAATTGTTCACTCTTGGGTGCATATCAAACTCGTTTGGGCGGCTGGCGAATTAATCCAATTTATGTATGACATTCGTACAAGTTTGCAGTTGGAGCATCTTGCAGAGAAATTGGTCAAGGTTTTAAGCAGCAGATATTACCTCTAAAGACAATCGAAAAGGAAGGAAAAGTTAAGTGGTATCACACTGGTATGATACCAAGAAAAACAAAAGTAGCTAAACAAATATAAAGACTTGTGCTTTTCTCTCAACAATTTTGTGATCAGCTGATTTGAATTATAATCTGTTAATAGAAGTGCTCAAATGGTGATATTCGTCTTGTAAGTTTAATTTAGAAGACATTTTTTTGAATTTTCGGGAGTGATGCAATTTAAGGGTCAAGTTTCCTCGGTAAAGAAGAAATGCGTGGAGTAAAATTCTCTACCAGGCCTTGCTGGTGTTTGCTGCCATGCTCTGCTTTCGTGGTGTGGTGGTGAGACCAAAAAAATGGATGCGTGAAAATCTTGCGTTTGGCGCACAGCCGCAGATTGTGATGCATTTTGTAAACAAACCAAACAATGCGTGCAAGCGGCTGGGGTCGCTGGGGTTCTTGGGCTTGGAGGTACCTGGCGCCCTTGCTCTGTGCATGCATAGACATGATTCAGATGTAGGTGAGGCAGGACACAGCTATAGGTGTCCAGGTTCTTTGGAGCCTCGTTTATGCATGGTGGTTTCAAGTGAGCTCGGTTTTGGATGACACCTGAAACCTCCGAAAGGGAAATAAGGGTTTGACATGTGCGATTAGACAATATCAGGCAGGAGTGAAAAATTCACAAAATATGGGGAAAAGGAGTGAAAAATTCCTCCTCATAGGGTGTTGCTTTACACCCAAAGTCGGCAATTCTAGGACACCGCTTTTTGTATTCTCACGGTTTACATGCCACTAAGTACGTATGGTAATAAACGATCGCGCGCGAAACCCCCAATTACTGCCGCTACTACTCTGATTGTTGTATTTGAGTAGATGTTCCAACACCAACTGCATTGCTGTTCCACCATACTTGTACAAATTTTGGGAAACAAGCCATCACACGTGGAACAGGGCGGTTTTGACATGTTTAAAGCCTTACTTCGGAAATTGCATACAGCGTGCCTAACCCAACAATCAGCCAAAAGGATCATCAACTTCACAATGGCGAACACCGTCTTCGTGGGCTAGAACCTCAAAGGCCATAAAAATACGTATCGTCCTTACACGGCACGACATATGAGGATACTAGAAGAAGAAAAAACTCCGGTGGTGGCCTGAAATGCAAAGCTGGACTAGCAATAACTCAAATTAATATGCGCTTCCTTTTGGTTATGCGGTTTCGCTACACACTCCATTGGATTTAATGTGTAGCAGAGCTGTGAACTGCACCGAATGGGCTTCAAAATGGCTCTCAATTCAAGACCCCATCATCAAATCCTTTTGGTGTGATTCCGCTATACAGTACATTTGATGTTAATGGCAAGTCCTGAGGGTTCACCAGGTCGTGTTTTTAAATAGGATTATGATCAAACACGATCTTTAAGTGTGATGAAATGTGATAAAGATAGGACACTATGCAAAGGGAACATTCCACAGTTTGAAGATATGGAAGGCATGCTTCAGACATGATGAAATAAGCCCACTTGTGTTGATTGGTATGTTTTTAAGCGGAAGACTGCTCCAGACGGAACAATTTCTTTCTTTAGTAAATAAACTCCGCAAAGGCCCCATTGTTTGATTAGGTCGTCGTACCTTGCATGACAGTTGATTGAGAGCCAATTGACGGCTGCTATATCTGAAAATTCGTGCACAAGAGCTGGATGTGACCGACTTGGCAGTTATATTTTTGTTGCTCTTGATCGCCGCATGGCTAATGGAATGGCAAGGTTTTGCATGACGTTATTACGGCGTCATGGATGCCTGGGTGACCTTGAGAAGGGCTCCCCTGAAAAAGTCGGCACATCTTCAGGGGCGTGTAGCTTAGAAACTGGGGTAGTTAATGTCTTAAGGAGGGTAGGGCTGTTAACTGCATCGAATTGTCTTCAAGTTGGTTATTTCAGTTCAAAATTTCATGCAATGTGGAACACTTCCTTTGAAGGGAATGCTCCATATTTGAAAATATTCAGGCAAGCCTTAGTTATGATGAAAGAAGCCCACTTCCTTAACTCCAGATCTTCATCAAATAACTCACCTCAAACTGTTTATGTGCTTCTAAGTGGAAAAGATTGCTCTAAACAACCAAATTTCACCACTCAGTAAATACGCTCCTTACTACGTCGTCGTTTGATTGCGTCATGGCACCTTGTCATGACGTCAGAGGGTTGCAAGTCGTGCGAGAATCCCACCCTAGCGGACTTGCTGACTCGTATTGTTTCAGCTTGTTAGGAGGTGTGGTAATAGGTACGACGTTTTAAGAGCCCAAATGTCATTGTTTGCGCGCCGTCTGACCCTTCTCGTTGTCTTCTTGCGCATTGACCCGGGAATTAATATTGTTAACTTGCATTTGCATGCTCGACTGTGGCGTTATTCTTAACTTATTCGATTGTAAGTCTTATGTCCGCAATAACTAGTACCACTGTTGAGCTTTCCCTATCATGTGCCACAAAATGGGATTCCACCTTGATTCCGATCCTATCATTCTCTTTTTTATTTATCCTGAATTTTCGCGACGCCCGCTTGTGCGGGGCAGGGTGCATGCACCAGCCACGAGTGGGTCGAGAGGCTCCCTGGAGGGGCCATCATCCGGGCCCCCAGCGCATACCCCGCTGAGGGTTCCCTGTGCGGGCTGAGTCTCGGCAGTTGGGCCCCCAGGCGTAAGTAGACCCTCCCCACCGTTAGCCATTCCCCTTCATCCCATAACCCTAAAATGGTTATTACTGGTCGAAAGAGCTCTAATCCAAGTAGCCAAATACCCAAATCGTGTGAAACTTCCACTGAATGCGTAACATTCCTTGACGGCCAATTGAAGTCCATTGGTTCCAGAAATCTTGTCCACGTATGCGAGATGCGAATAACTCAGCGGTCCTCAGCTATATAGCGGTCCTCAGCCTCAGCTACGAATAACTCAGCGGTAACTCAGCGACCACCGCATGGCCAATGGGATGGCAATATTTAAGTGACCTATTCATGGTGTCATGCTTGCCGGGGTGACCTTAACATAGTCCACCGAATAGTCTGCTCAACTTCGCGGGCGTCTAGCTCAGGAACTGGAGGGTTTTAAGAAGGGCGGGGGTGTTAACTGCGCCGAATGAGCTTCAAAATGGCTATCTTAGTTCAAGACCCCTCACAAATGTGGAACGCACCGTCACGTACCGCGAAGCCATGCTATGAATTAACGGCATATTCGTATGAAACAGCGTTTTGTTACGGCGGAGGTTGTGCTCCAGTGGATGTAACGACGGATACCGTATGTAATGCTAAGCTTTCATGCGTGGTGAGAAGTGTTCCTCACTTGTGTATTGCGTATGGGGACAATTCGTGTATTTGTGTGTTTGGTCACCTGATCTTGTGGCATGTGCGCTGCGCCGTACGAACACCACGAGCGTTCTGTGCAAAGCAGGCTGTATCGATGACATGCGAGCTAAATGAGACAGATTCGGCCTCCGAGCCGTTTGACGTGTTTATGTTATGTTACTGGCCCTGTTTGATGAAACGGATGGCTTGCCGTTCAGACCGAGTGGAGTACCGAGAGTCGCCGGCAGGGTCGCAGTCTGATCTGATCTAGTGTCTGTTACAGCGCGCGCAGCGAAGTGGCGGTCCAGTCATGCTGCGGACGGGCCGTCAGTATCTAGATCTGGCCGTATTCTTCGTTGTCTTCTGCGGCTCCGTATACAGCAATAAGTATGTGCTGTCTACGCTGGATTTCACTTATCCCACCATATTCCAAGGCTGGCAGACGCTGTTCGGGCTGGTGTTTATCCGTTTGGTGACGCTGTGCCCGAGCAGTGAGCGACTATACAGTCTGGACAAGCCCTGGCTTCCTCTCGCTGCTGCCCAACTTTCTGTTCTTCACCGGCTCGGTGGTGGCCGCGTCGAAGGCGCTGGCCGACATTCCTGTGCCGATCTTCCTGGCGGTGCAGAACGTGATGCCGGCGCTGGTATACCTGCTGGACTACGCTCCGCGCTTCAAGGGCGCCTCCGTCGTGTCCCTGGTGGGCTCCGGCTTCCTCCTGCTAACTGCCGTGCTTATCATCCTGGTCGACCTGGACATGACGTTCAAGGACTCGCCTTACTTCTGGCTGATGGCGCACGTCGTCTGCTCAACTGTACACACGCTGCACGGCCGCATCGCTGACGCGCGCTACTCGGATATCGACCGACTCTACTACAGCTACCTGGTGAGCGTCGTGGTGCTGGCTCCGTCCAGCCTCTACCTGGAGGAGGCATTCCTTGTGCTCGACTTCCCCTACAAGAGCCAGGCCGACTTCATTGTCGGCTGCCTAGTGAGCGGCATCTCGGGCGTGCTGCTCGCCATCTTCAGCATTCACGTGCAGGAGAGCCGGCCGGCGGCCGGCGTGCACGGCGCCACCCGCATTCTGGCTGCCATCGGCAGCGTCTGGCTGTTTGCCGATACGCACATGTCGCTGCCCGTGGCCATACTGGTCGGCGTCAACATGGCCTCTTCGCTGATGGTAGCCTGGCTGCCGCGCGCGCTACCGCAGTTCCCGGCGCCGCGGCTCACGCCCGCCGAGCGGGACCCCGAGCTGGCTGCCCCGCTGATCGAGCAGGACAGCCCGTAGGCGTCAGCTGTGCGGGGTGGCGCGAGTGTGCCGAGGCCGGGTCTTTCGTTCTACGAAATTAGGCCGGACTCGACCAACCAATGAGAATAGTCGGGCAGGTTATTTTTTACCCGTGGGGTGTGGGTACCGTGTTTTTTCATAGGTGGTTTGGTTGATGGAACGAAGTGTCGTTATCCGCCATGGGGCCGGAGAGCCAGCTCGAGAGCGTTGTGTTGTGGTGATCTGACTACTTGATCCCTAGGTGAAAGTGGGGTGAGTCTCGTGTCTTCTGTCTTTAACTGTTTTCTTTGTGACATGTAAGCCGTCCACGGACCAGAGAATATGGACGTTGTTGGTTTCGGTGTTGTTCTCAAATGGATGTGTTGTCATTCTACTGTCGTGGTCTCCTATCTCTCTTTTGGTTCCATTGGTTTACTTAAACGATTGCTTATAAAGCAATCGTTTCTGATCTGTGATCGAAAAAACGACTTCGCAATTATCATGCGTGCGGCCAATAGTTGGAACGTGCGGCGTTTGGGCTTCCTGTGCTTCCAGCGTAACCTCTTCCCCCTATTACTCTTGAATAGTCGTAAGTTTTCTACTACTATGCGATTGAGATCCTCGTCAGGCTATCGCGAGCAGCCGTCGGGCATCCTGTGGATCGCATCTGTACCTTTGTATGAACCTCAAGGTCAACAGAAATAAACAAAGTATGCAGTACTGAGTGTGCCAAAGGAACTACGCCGTTTGATGTCCCTCGCGGTTTAGGATGTGTTTCCTCCAATGTCGTTAGATGTCAATGGTTGGGTTATTTATCAACGCATGTGATTGTTTGGCTATGAGCTTTCGCTACGCTCACGGGAAATTAGAATATGAAAGTTCGTTCACGTCGAGGTGCGATTGAAACACGAATCTCTCAATCCACAGACCGACGCTAAATTCTCGTACCCGCTTGTCCTCATCGTAATTAGCATGATGGCCATGTTTGGATGCGGTAAACGTCGCCTGAGTCTTGCGCTGCAGTCAGTTTTAATGCCTTGTTTCACATTTGTATGAAATTTTGAACTAAAATAGCCAATTTGAAGGTCGCTTGGTGCATTTCACAGTCCTATTCTTCTTAAGACCTTAAACCCTCTTGTTTCTGAGCTACGCGCCCGCGTATTGGTGCATGTCACAGTCCTACACTTCGTAAGACCTTAAACCCTCTTGTTTCTGAGCTACGCGCCCGCGTAGATGTGCAGACTTTCAGGGTTATTCAGACAGGCATGACGTCATAGTATCGTCATTCAATTCCTGCCGCCCCTTAGGCCATACGGCGTTCAAGACCAAGAGGAATAGCATCGTTGATCTGCTCAACAAGCTTGGCTCACCAATCCTGAGCAAGTTGTGCAGGATTAAACCACGAGGCACCCTTTCTGCTACATAAGAAAAGAAGTTGGTCATGATTGCTAGTTATTACGCAAAGAAGACAGAAGAATCGAGCATCTTAAAAATAGCGCCATAATGGGATATGTAAATGCAAGTAAAGCTCTTAAACTCACGGATAAATCCGCAAGGGCACCAAAGGGAGAGCCGAAACACGAGCACATGACTATATTTGGTCCAGCGAGCACTTCCAGCACCACCACTGCCTTCTCCCCGCCAGCTGAACTACTACACGTGAGTGCTCGGGTGGCAACTTTGTATGACCAGTCTGGCGGCACCTCAACGCGATGCAAACGTTCTCGCAACCAGATAATGACGCGCTGATGACCATAGTTACCAGATAGAGAAATTGTGTGGTTTTGGATAGTGCTCACTTAGGAGAGTGCTCCACATTTGCGTGATGGTGATGATGGTGGGTGATGGTACCGCCAACTGTCGACGTCTCATTGTCGGAGGTTCAGAAGCAAAATATGATCCCGTACGTTGCCAGATCAACAGCTTTGAAGCATATCGAAACATATCGGGGATTCACAATTACGTACACAGACGGGTCGAAAACGGATACGGGTGTTGGTTCCGCTTTTGTGTGTGGTCCCGATACGCGATCATTTACACTGCCAGCCCATGCGTCCGTGTATACTGCAGAGCTTGTGGCCATCATTAAGGCGCTCTGCTTTATGGAGGTGGGCGAAGACAGTCTGCACGTGATTTTATCGGATTCCCTAAGTGCCCTTTCGGCACTAAGGCGTTTTAATCCGGTAAATCCCCTTATACAGGATGTTTTACTGCGTCTCGACTCTCTGTACCGGGCTGGCAAGACCATAGTACTTTGCTGGATTCCGAACCACGTTGGCATTGCGGGAAATGAGCTGGCTGACTCTGCTGCAAAGCGTGCTACTCGTCGTCCCTGTCGCAGAGCGTTTCCGATACCTGCTACAGACCTGTACTCGCCCATCTCTGCTTTTTTGCGCGGGGAATGGCAGAGCACATGGGATGCGATAGACACCACTAAACTGAAAAGCATCAAGCCAGTTGTTCAGGAATGGCAGTCATCCTATCGGAAGTCTAGACGGGAGGAAGTAATCCTGTGTCGGCTGCGGATTGGCCATACTTATGCCACACATCGATACCTACTATGTCACGACGAACTACCACGATGTCGCCACTGCAACACCACGCTCACAGTGGAACATGTGCTCATATGTTGTCCCATACTACGCGTCGAGCGTCTGAGGTTCTTTGGCCCGGCGGCGCCGTCCCTGACGCTCTCCGATTTACTAGGTGACAGCTCACCACATATCCAACATACCCTCAAGTTCGTATCGCATGTTAAGTTCTGCACTTTATATACACCTGCCTGAATAGTTTATACCGCGTGTAACGGAAGTTCTTAGGTTGCCGAAAGCTTTGTATCAATGACGCGTTCCTCACACAAATCAGCCATTTTCATTTCCGAATAATATATATTTTTAGTCATTTACCGTCGTAGGTAGCCATTTTCCTGTTATGGGCGCAAAATGACCACAGTAGTCGGCGCGCCCTAAAGCCCCAATCAACAACAACATTTGCGTGGAGTTTTGAACTGTAACATCCATCTTGAAGCCCTGTCCTTATTAAGACCTAAATCCTTCTAGGTTTCTGAGCAACACGCCCGCGTGAGTGTAGACTATTTCGGGGAGATTACCTCGAGGTCACCGAAACGTCCATGACGCCATAATAACGGAGCATTCCCTTGAGGTATCTCAGCACCCACAGGGTTATAGAAACTTATTGCCCATTTTACAATGGAAATGAGCAAATCAGTAAAATTGAAGCATGCAAACGAACCAAATTTGTTGGATTCGAAAAAAGTCCTTGATATCGAAGCGAAATAGCGCGCATTCATTTTTGAGAGAATATTGTGTTAAGTCGGGTCGGGTCGGATTTGGTTGAGAAATCTAGGAAAACGGATTGGCGGGCGGATTGGATGTGGGCTAGTCGGACTGGACTTGGCCGGATCCTGCAAATTCAATGCGTGAAGTGCTCTGCCCCGGAGACATATCTGCTCTCCGAGCTCTCCGCGCATGATTGACTATTTGCTTTGCGTGGTGTAGCGGCAGTGCATGCGTCGTCGCTGGACTGCTGGACTGGACTGGACATCGGCTATAAAAATTGCTACGAAAGCAAACTTGACTGAACATAGTGCTGAAAAGTGCTGCGCATTAGCCCAGGTTTCGCCAACTCATCTGGAACCGAATTGGGTAGACAGGGAAGGGCCGTAATGCCGATGCAAAAATGCCGATGGGTAGTTCTCGACATGTGGGACGAGTGGAGATGAAGGATCAGAAACCGCGAGGTAGTGTGAGAGGGCGCATGGGGTCTGCACGTGCGTTGCGGTAGGTGTTTTTGTGCATTAATGTACATATTTTGATATTTGGTGGGAAATTTATACAGAAGCAACGGATATTTCGTACGCTGGACAGTTTTTGCTGCCTAGACCGCCTGGACTGCCCGGACCTCACGGTATCCGATTGGAAGTCAACGTGATACACCAGAAGTGTGTCTAAACTGAGAAAGTTCAACCGCTACGTTGCTTTGGAAACAACTTGGTTTCTGCTACTAAAATGTGGTCTACTGCAGAATTTCATGCAGATTCCTGTTGAGGTTTTGCATGGAGTTTTGAAATCCAGAGTTATGACTGTTAAGGCCAGAGTTATAGTTCTTATTGTCCGATTTATTACAGAGTTATTACTGCTAGACACTTAGTGTAAGTATAATGGCTAGACAGCTACATTTAGACATTTAGATGGGAAGCGGAGCTGTCAGTTTGTTTTGATGCTCGTGAAATATAAACTAAATTCGAAACTTGCTGAATGAGTTAAGTAAAGACGTGTACCTGAAAAGCATAAACACGACACACGTTGCCTAGTTGATAACAATAGTTAGTCAAGGCAATTGCTGGTTAACAAAACAAAAATAAAGTTAAGAAAAGACTTTACAGTAGTTATAGGCACATTCCTTAGAGAAAAAACCGAGAGAGTGGAGGTCTAGATGCATTGATATTTCGGAAACATATTCAGTTCTGCTATTTGTTTCGATAAATGCATGGTGCCGAAACATCAACGCATCTACATCTCCGTTCTCTTGGTTTTTTCCCCGAGGATTAAGGCTATTAATACCGTCGTATCTCTGCATAATGCCGCTCACAAATGCACTTCACAACTTACGTAAAATAAAGCTTGGCAAAGTCAGTTTTGCCAAAGGACTATGCAAGCCGATATAAAACTTAATCTCCCATCTAGCTGACAAAAAGTTATCCAACCCTGATTGTCCAAATCAAAATTTCCACTCTGCGTACACCGACAATGGGAAGCAATCAAAAGCAACCCATCATTCAGCCAACAAACCGTCATCTATGCATTTCTTGGCTCTCCACGACGCTTCGAAAGGTTGCCGGTTTGGGGCGACCTGAGCACAGTGCCAGCCAGTTTCGGCGGCAATGGGTTGGCTGGTTTGGTCTGCTTTTGAAAAGACCTTTCGGTGTGGTGACCCAGCCCAAGGGCACGGTCTCTCTTCGGCGACAGTAGCGGTCTTTTGGCCACCGGGACGGGGAAGTCAAAATGGGGCCCATTGTATGTCTGATAGCAGGCGCGTGATCAAGACTGTCCCACAAGGGTGTCGAAAACTGAAAACTGCCGTGTGTAGCCGTAGCGTGTTTGTGTGTATCAATTCGACCAACCCGAAAATGCTCCGGTATGGGGCAACAATAGGTGTTATTTACAACGATGTTTGCCTCTGTTTTTAGGAAGGTTGTAACTTTTCAGCTTATGGAGAAAGTTTTAAAAAGTGTAACGTACTAATTAGCTTGTTTTCAGGGTTGTTTTCCTGCAGTAGCCTTGATTAGGAATCAAGTCTTGCTGCTTGATTGAGAACTAAAGAACAAGGAACTATTTGACATCAATCGGGTCGAAAAGGACAATCTGCACTCAAAGCATTTGAGGGCGTATGGGCTCATCTGCCTATACGGTAACTGATAACACGTGGTATATTGGTTATCAAATTGTTCACTTGCGTACTGTGTCGCTACCCACATGCAGGTGAAACAAAGCAAGAAAACGTGAAGTTCGTACAGCATTTGGTGGGGTGGGATGGGGGGGGGGGGGCGCTCCAAAGTTTCGTACGGTTAGCTACAGATTGTGAGACTGGCCACGACGAGATGATTATAAGCGATATGCACGAACGAGATCAAACTGCATGCGTTGCCAATGGCTGAGAACGAATAATCAAAATTGACGACACGCGCGGCCATTTGCCAGGCGACTTACATGATGGTGAGAGGCGTCGGCATCCCGTGCCACCGATTTCGTCCGAGTCACACGACGCACTGCGTCTCTCCACGGTATCGCCACGTAATCTGATCATGTGCCGTCTCTACGACAGTGACACGTTTTTTTGGACGTACGCCTGTCATCGGTCTTCCGTGCCCGCTAATCATATATGCTCTGGGTCAAGTTCTGGGGGCTAGCAGAAGATAACAGACTCGCATATCGCGTAACGTCCTCCGATATCAGCTTGTCGTTGTTTGCTGTTTGCGATATGGGAGATGAACAAAGTTGGACGGCGCTTAAAATTCTAGACCGTTCAAGACGCTCACAACTTTTCTTCCATTGCCTTGCATTACGGGATGGGTTCACGGCATGGGATCCATTAGATGGCACCCACATCGCACTACGCAGCCGCTGGTCAGATGGTCACCTGTCCACCTGGACCGGTATGGCCGGTGATATGTCGCGTTGGGCCAGAGAGGCGCGGGCTATGCTGTCAAGCCCGTCTGGCCATATTAGAAGCTTGTCAAGACACGCCAAATATCGGCACATGAAATATCGCAACCGCAAAGTATCGACTCCACAAGATATCGCATCACAAAACATCAGCATCTCAAAATATCGACATGACAAAATATCGACACACAATATCAATGCTGAGCACGGAGGTTCCCGTAGATACACGGTGCGAAGGTGGATGGACTATGGGTTTGAACAAATTGTGTGTGGTATCAAATTTGTAAGAGCGCCAGAGCTACAATATAGCCCGATATCAACGCTTTTGGTCAGCGCAGTTGGGCTGCTGATAACGAAGTGTTCTGATCGACCATCTCTGGTCCCATGCCACTCCCCAACGTAAGGACATAAGTTTGCGTGCCCATCTTGAACGTCGTTTCAAATTTTTCACGTGCACATTTATTTTTCAAACCTTCACGTTCAATCGTCTTCAACTCCATTCCTTCCACTGTGTTCGGTGCTGTTGTGAAGAAGAAGACAAAAAAGGCCTGAAATGCGGTATTCCTCCCCTGAAACACTTGTCACATGTTCGTGGCACAGCTGTCCAGCATTAGCTTGAGAGGCACCCGGTGCAGCGGCAGATTCAGAGACGGGGGGCGGGGGACGGGGCCGTGACGGCCAGCGAGACCTTTGGCCCAGAGCTGGCCGAACAAATGCGTTTTTTAACGCAAGAACGCAACAAAATTGGACGTCTTAGGGCTTTAGGGCTTTCAGGCAACCGAGAACAGTCGCAAGCGAAGATGTGATGTGAAGACAAAGGTTATTCTTCACTGATTAAGGGGGTGGTGAATGGTAGATTCTAATGTCCATTACGCTGCCCAGGACTGTGCGCTATTTCCACGGTCTCCGTTGAATGTTCACTTGCACGGTCTTATCCGATCGTTAAGGAACCTTTTACGTTGCCCTTGATTCGTTTGCACTCGCTCGGAGAGCCCTGCGCTGTTGCTGGGGCCCTTTCTGGTAACGTGCCGGGGTATTCTGGTCAACCACGGGCTTTCCACGGGTTCTTTCCAATCGCCCGAAAGGCTCCTTACGCTATGGCCGGGGGCTCCATATGGTAACCTGACGGCACTCTGGGTTGCTCAGGGGCCCTTCACGTCGGTCTCGGTTAACTCACCGACACACTCGCGATACGCTCATGGGTCCTTCTCATGGGCCTCTTCCTTTATGTTGCGCCCTTCCATTTCTCGCTCATTTGCTTAGGGCCTTACGATTCTGTCAGGGGCCCGTTTTTTAACCAGCTTGGGCACACCCGGTCGTTCGGGGACGTTTAAATCGGTACTTTCTATTTGAAAAGAGTGCCTTTCGCACTTTTTTGGGGCTCCATCTGTTAACTTGCTCGTGCACACTGGGTTGTTTGGGGCCCTGCACGTTGAGTTTTGGTATTTGAACCAGTGCCCTACGCTCCTGTAGGGCGCCATCTGATAACCGTCTTTCGGGAGCCTTTCACACTGGGTTTTGAGTACCTCTTATTTGCGCGGGGTCCCTACACTCTTGTCGAGACCCCTTCTGATGACCTTCTCGGGCACCCGCGATCATTCCTGGCGCTCGATATTGTGTCTTGGGTACTTGTCATTGAAATGGATGGCGCTCTGTTCTTCTCGGGGCCCACCCCCGTTAAGGTGCTCGAGCCCGTTGCGGATCCAGAGGGGGGGGGGGGACAGTGAACCATGACCTTCCCTTTTGCCCCGAGGGGACCCATGGGCTCCGAAGCGGCCCATAACCAGCCAAACGGGCGCAGTTTTCTAACACAAATGACAACAAAATTGGACGTCTTCGGGCCTCCAGACCATCAAGAACAGTTGCAAGCGAAAGTGAAGAGCCCGTGAGTAAGCGAAGCTATTCTTTGCTGATTGAAAGGTTGGTGATTTATGGGGAAATTTCGAGGCTAATCACGTTACCCAGAGGCGTTACGCTGTTCCCGAGGCTCTACATGTCCACTTGCCGGGTCAATCCGATCGCTAAGGAGCCTTCCACGTTTTCTTGATCCATTTGCGTTTTCTCATAGGGCCGTACGTTGCTATTGGGACGCTATCTGCTAACATGTGTGGGCACTCTTGATCGATCAGGGGCCCTCCAAATATTCTTCCCACTCGTCCGAAACCTTCATATGCTTTTGCCGGGGCTCCATATGCCGGGGTACACTTAGTTGCTCAGGGGCCCTTCATGTTGGTCTCAGGTCATTTCTACTTGCTCGGAGGGTCTTGCGTTGTTGCTGGCGCCCATATAAAGCAAGGCGACCGAGCCTCTCCATGCTCAGGGGCTCTCATTTATCTGGGACTCTTTTTCTTTGATTTCACCTGCGGATGACCCTTCACCTTTATCGGGACTCTTTCTGTTAACCCACCCGAGCACCCTTGAACGCACCGGGGCATTAATGCATCTACACTGGTCTTGGGTGATTTCCTTTTGTTCAGAAGGCCCTATGCTCTGGTCGGGGACACCATCATATCAGCCTGCTGGGGCTTCCCGATCGTTTTGTAGCATACCGTGTTGGATTTTAGCCTTAGAGCAGCAGTTGGATATGCGCCGATGAATGTTTACGCACAACTGTGGAACATATTTTTGCGTGCTGCCGCCGTCGCACTGTATCATTTCCTTTGGCTCTTGAATATTTGACATCTAATGTACTTGTGCATTACGTTCGTAATATATTTTGAATGCTAGGATTTTGTATACTCCTTCATAACATGCAAATAAAAACTCAGCATTAGTTTTCAGCTGATAGATCTTCTTCTTATCTTCAGCTTGAGATCAGCCACCAGCTGGTAACCTCGACCAGCGTACTAGGTGAAAATAAGCTATGAGTAAAGTTTGTGCTTGATTTTGGTGGTATTTAGCAGCCAACTTTAATTTGTTTTCCCAACTTTTTCGAAAAATGCCTCAGAATGAAAGGGTTTACCACGATCTGGAGAAAATGAATAGTCTTCACGCATGTTCTTACTGGTACGCCTAGTTTTCGAAGGTGGCGCACGGTAAGATGGGTTCCCGTGTTTAAAATTGCATGCTAAGAATCTTAAAACTTACTGGCCATAATGCGAGGATGATGTCATGAAGGGGGCTTAAGCTCTATGAGGGACAAAAGTTTGCGTAGCCCCCCTCGACGAAAGCCTGGATCCGCCCCTGCTCGGCGCCCGCATATGCCAAGCTCACTGACTAGGAATCCCAACATCTGTCGGTAAAGAGGGCCTTCATCTATCTAGGTGTGCAAGGACAGGGCGGGTCCGATGCCGTCTCCTCGGAGTGGGGCTTCGCTGCTCCGTGATTGCCGTCAGTGATGTGGTGCTGCTGCCCTCCCTCCCCCCCCCCCCCCCCCCGGAAAACCGTGCTGCTATGACGACTGAACTCCTGGACGCAACGGCCGGTTGTAAGCAGTGTCTGCCAGGGGCTCATTCAGGACATCGGAAAGGAAATGGGTGACCTGCTGGCACTTGTTGGTTTGTATTGGTTAGGGGTTTGCTGACGTTGTTGCCGTTTTGTTAGAGGAAGACTGCATGTTCACGTACTATTCAATGACAATCATGCCCCTGTGGCACGTCCTTGAGGGCCTCCGCTGCGCCCTGTGTCGGACCAACTGGTTTTAATCCTACAGCTCTGTGGCCGCCTGACGGTGGCGATTCTGCAGCTCTGTTGAACCGTTCGGCCCGGCCGCTCCGAGTGCGTCGCACTGGCACGGAGTGGGCGGGGATTGCCGACAAGTCGGCGTCGGAGCGCGCGGTGACCTGGTGGTTCTTCTTCAGGTTGAATTGTGCTGACTGGTCCGGGGCACGATGCAGGAGATGCGGGGGCCGCGCCCTGAGGCGCGTGAGGGTGCCCTCAGGTCGCTACTCAGCTCTATCCAGAGCTCTGTGTTCGTGATCGGCTCGGCGCTAGTGGTCCTGGCTGCCTTCAGGAACACAATCACATGGTAAGGACGAGCTTTACAGAACTCTTCTGCGTTTCGTGTCTTCATTGGATCCTAATGTCATGGATTGATTCTCGCAACCCACGGTTCTTGTTGTTAACGACGTCGTATTGATGTTCAACTGACTCATCTCACATGATTACGAGATGTAAGACGTCGGTGATCTAGTTGCTTTACTTAAATGATTTATTCACGCTTTACCATGATGCTAAAAATGTGGCTTTTTGTCTCGTCATCCAGTTTATGATTTGCGATATCGGTCACTACTTTGACGTCGATCCGCTGATTTCGCGGGATCTATAACGTCTCTTTGTTGGCTGTAGAAGTGCAGTTTGAGTTTATGGTCACAAGCTTTGGTTGCTTTATCTGAACGGGAATTTCCAATGCGGTATGGCGTTTTGACTGCTGGCCTTGATAACCGACATTTATTCCTTAGGAAGTTGATAGTTTGGCGTGGAGTGCAATGCATCTCAATGTGTTACCTTTGCTTTCGCCCCCTGAAGAACTCTGCACAGATTAAATGAGTTAGTGGATCGGACTTGGCCTGTTCGAAAAGACATCAAACCATGTAGGCTAGCATTGAAAAGTTTGCCAGCGCGAGTGAATTGGAAAATAAGTTCAGTGAAATAGCTCATTGTCCACGTAAGGAACAGGACCATGCGTGCTATATATGTTATGTATCTTGTGTTAAAATTAGCATGCATGCCACCTCTTTTTACTTTTCACTTATAGGTACGTTAGGCGCGTACAATTTGATCAGCAATGGCAAGTTTTCTTGGAAGCTTTGTGAATTGCTTAACATACCTGTTTGAAGAAGCCACCCCTGCGGGAAAAATGTCATTAGACTCCCTACTCACTACTAAGAAAGTAAAACGTTGTATTTGCCTTGCTTTTTCCAACGTATGCTCTGTAATGTTTGCAACGCACTTATTTGCCAAATTGCTGTGTGATAAATCTTACGAAGTCTTGAAGCACGCTGTTAATAGAAAAAGAGATACGAGCATGAAGCTATTACCGTTCAACGAAACGTTATGATAGGCTTACATTACATCCTATGGCGTTTAACTCAGTATCTTTTTTCTATTTGCTTTTTGGCTTTGGGGATGGGTGTATCACAGGCTCTATAGCGGCGCACTGGTTCAAGCTTAAACCAGTGCACATCTTGGTAACAGGCCCTTGCCTCCTGCTGTGCTAATCACAAACGTTCTTTTAGTCGCACCAGCAGAGGTACCACGGCCGTTGTCATGACAGTGGGGTCAATATTTCCTAGGTGTTGACAGTGCGGCGGTGGCACTACCGTTTGCTGTTATTGCTATTATTCGAATAATTGGCTTTGAGGTTTTACAAGGGCATGCTCCTGAAATATGTCCCGAAAGGCAAACACTCCCTTTAGAAAAAGAAATGTTCCACGTTTGAAGATATTGAATCAGGCATTAGCTATTATTAAACAAGCTCATTGATATCTATGGTATAATTCTGAGTCGAAAAAACTGCTCTAGACAACACAATTTCTCTGTTTAGTAAATACGTCCCTCAACAGGTCATTGTTTGACTTCGTCATCGTCCCTCGCACAACATTGATTGAGAGTATCGTATTGACGGCCTTTATATCTAGAAGTCATGCTCACGACCGCCAGATATGAATGAATCGACAATCTCTTGGTCTTGACCGTCGCATGGCTAATGGAATGGCAGGATTTGAATGACTTTTTATGGCATTCCATGCCTGAGTGACCTTGAAATAGTCTACCCCGGATAGTTTGCACATATCCGTGGGCTTCTAGCTCAGAAACTATAGGGATATAGGTCCTAAGGTGGTCAGGGCTGCGAACTGCACCGAATGATCTTCAAGGTGGGTATTTCAGCTCTAAACCCCATACAAATGTGGAACACTCCCTTTAAGTCGAGCAGATATGTGAATATTGAAGCGGATTACGTTCTTGTGTCTTTTACCGATTTGTTTGGAAAAGCCAATCTTGTATTTGTATGTTTTTCAGTGCATTAGCGAGGAACATTATTCACATAGATAAGACAGTAGTATTAGCCTTATTCCTCGGAAAAAAGAGGAAAATGGAGATATTGGGTTGGGTTGATTTTTCGGCAACATGCCTATATCGAAACAATAGCCGAAGTGAATTCCTTCTACTAATTCCTTCTACAGAAGTGAATTCCTTCTGAAATTCACTTCTGCTATTGTTTCGACAACGGCATATTGTCGAAATATCAACCCAACCACATTTCCATTCTTCTGTTTTTGTTCCGAGGAATAAGGTTAATGCTACTGTCTAATCATGTATTTGTGTGGGCTTCCATTGGCGTTGGCCGCCATCATCTGACAGCTGTACGATGTGGCGTAAACTGCGTTTGAACACCTTGACATAACGTCCTTGACCTCAGGTATTTACAATAAATTAGCGTTTTCATCAGCGTTTTAAGTACATTGCCCTTGAGGGGAGTGTCCCACCTTTGGGGCGTATTTCAAAAACATACCCTGGTGAAACCTCAGGACCATTTACGTCCAGAAATAGCGCTGGGTATTGCCATTGCAGCACCATCAAGTTATTAGAAGGATACAAATGTTAGTGACTTTCGAGTCCAAAGTACGCTGTCAACGTTTTGTAACAACGCTACACTTCTTCCTTTTCTGGTAGCCCCAGAAAAGTCCCGATCCTGACTCCGCGACGACTGCAGTTGTCGCGACTGCTGTCGTCACGTCAACTGCCGTCTTCTTGACAACCTCCGTCGTCATGACAGCCGCCGTCGTCATGACGACGGCAGAATCTGTTGAGGGCCGTTGACAGCTGTCGCGGGTTAGAAGTAGCACTCTTGAGCTGTTTCAACCTGCACCTGGCTGGCCTGTGGGCTAAAATGGGCACCTCTGCTGATATGGATGATGCCAGTACAGATGAACGTTTGGGATTGGCACGGCCGGCGGCAGGGGCCAGTTACCGGGAAGCGCATTGGTTGAGGTCTGAGCCAGTGCACGATTATGGACCATGTGATTCTCCATTTCCCGAATCAAAAGTGCACTTCGACAAGAGCCGTTGTGGTAAACGCCATTTGGAAGAAATCTAAGCCATAGTATAACGTGTCGTTGAATTCGCTGGATATTAACCTCATGTGTGCATATATTTTTCTCGTAGTAAAGCGTTTCAAGTTTCCGTAGCATTTGTTATACAGGCATTTTGGCAAATCGTTGTGCTGCAAACGTTACAGAACACACACGTTGGACAAAGCAAGGTAGATAGACCATAATTCTGCCGAGGTAGTGAGCAGGGAGTTCAATGAGATTTCTCCCGCTGGAACAGCTGCTTCAAATCGACATTCTGAGCTATTTAGAAGAATTTAAAGAAAACCGTCTCTACTGACCAAGGCATACGCGTATGATTTGACAATAATTGAGAAGTAAAAAAGGAGGCATGCTCCCTTTAAGTTTTCAACCGGTATGCCCGCAGGCACTTGCAGCAGTTTTGGGGAACCTCTGGAAACTTGTGGCAGTCGATCTGGGATGAAGTGTACGACTTCTTTGAAGGGGACCAGTACAAGCTAGTCATTTATGGTAAGTGTCTCATGCTTTGGTCATGCTTCGAGCCATGTTTCCCTGCACGGCTATTGCCACGCCGTTGAGGAGGGTAAGTCCGGTACGTCCGCGTCGTTTGGGAGGCCCCCGTGTGTCGTTCCCAAGTACTGTGGCCCGTATGATCCGTCTGCACCCGTCAAGCATATTGCCCGGCTGACCGTTGGGTGTTTGAGGACGACTTTGTCTTGTTCGATGACGGCACGCTATACGGATCACGCGAGCCCCGCCTGACAGCAGGCTGTACTGGATCACGCGAGTTTTATCATGTCTGATGTTTGCTTTGATATCTTCAAATGTGTAGCATTCCCTTTAAGCCCGGTTTTCAGTGTATGGCGGTATGTCGTTGCTCCCTAACGACGGCCGCTCCGCCCACCGCAGGGACGCCGATCTTCAGTCTGACGGTGTTCTGGACGGCCGGTATCGTCTACATCGCGATGGACGTGCTGCTGAAGCCTGAGCAGCTGCGTCGCTACAAAATGCAGCCGGGCACCAACGAGCCGGTCGACACGCGCCGCCTGCTGCAGGTCAGCACCTGAGGTCATGTAGTGACGAGTGGAATGGGATGTAAGCTTTCGAGCCAGCTGTTCAATTGGGTCGTCGCCGTATGTCTGGGCGAAATCCATCGGTGAAGGAGTGCCTCTGTGTGCGCAGATTGGTGATGTTTCTCAGCGCATGTGTGGATTAAGACGTCAACTCGTGTTAGTTTGAACGAATTAACCAGAACGAGACCTCTATTCACTCACCTCGGCTAGCCATTCTCTATCATCTCGTGCACTGCAGGGCCTTCCCACCAAACGGCTGCAGATAGTGTCGAGCGTCCCCCAGTCAGTCAGAACTCCGTTCGTCCCCCCCCCCCCCTCCGTCAGCGCCGCCCCTGGGGCTGCTTCGCTCTGCTGACACCGTCACCGCACGCAGGCCGTCTTCTGGGTCCTGTTCAACCAGACGATAGTCGGTGTGCCGGTGATGATCGCGTTCTTCCGGATTCTGGAGCTCCGCGGCTTCGACTCGGGCCGCGAGCTGCCCACCTTCCATTGGGTGCTGTTCGAGCTGGCCGTCTGCATTCTGGTGGAGGAGGTGGGCTTCTACTACACCCACAGGTAAGTGAGAAGGTGGGCGGGTGGGTCCGCCTCCACCTGTAGGATCCTGAGTCTTAGTTCGTCATTTCCATACAGGAATGTACGAAGCCAGTATGAGCAAAATATCAGGTTTTCAGGGATTACAATCTCGATGGCTACCATGGTAATGCGTCTAAGCCTAACAATCTTTGACATCATGTCGCCCAAGCTAACCTAGGTGGTGGCTTGCCAAGCCATGCCAAGTGGAGAATGTCAGAGGGGCCGGTATGGCCAACCGGTTTAGATCAGTATCGTTTGGTTCGAAAACAATATTGGATCCGCATACACTTGAGTGACAGCTGTTGAATGACAGCTGTTAAGATTGTTCGCGTGATCGTGCCGGATTTTCCATCCATAGGCAAACCAACATATGCAAAGTTGTCATTGTACATTTGCTTATCATTGCATGGCTCTGATGATTTTACGTAGCCGTGCAAAGAGATTAATGTCGAATTTGGCGTACCATAGTGACTTAACCTAACCTGATCCAAGGTGAAGAACCCCACCGGACTCAGTTGAACTAAGGGTGACTCAGGCAGCTCAGCTCATGTCAGCCGAACCTAGCAGGCCCTGTCCTACTACAGCCTACAGTAGATCAGCCGAACCTAGCAGAACATAGCAATACATGCCGGCATTTCATAATTCAGATGTGTCGCACCATGTGTTTTTAGTTGCAATAAGTGATGTTGACTTAGAGCGAATGTTTCACGTTTGAAGGTATTGAAGCCAGCATTGAATATGTTGAAACAAGCTCGCTTACAACTATTTATATACTTTTTAAGTGGAAAAGACCGCTCTAGACAGCACAACGGTCCATTTAGTAAATATGCTCCTCAGTGTGCCATGGTGTTATTACGTCGTCGTGCCTTGCACAACATTGATCGAGAGGTAATTGACGGCCGGTTTATCCGGAAATTGCGCTCACGAACGCCAGATATGAACGACTCGGCAATTTTATTTGTTTTGGCGTTGATCCTCGCATGACTAATGGAATGACAGGTCCGAATGGCGTTATTATGGCGTCATGGGCGCTTGGGTGACCCTGAAATACTCTCCACGATATACCTTCCTCGCTTTTCGCTGGCGTTCAGCTCAGAAACTAGAGGGGCTTAGGCCTTAAGTCGGCTAGGATTGTGAACCTCGCGAAAGCTAAACCGAACAACCGAAAGGTCTTCCAGATGTCTGTGTCAGTTCAAAACTCCATATAAATATGGAACACTGTCTTTAAGTCTGATTCCGGGTCACAGGTTTTCTGAGGTATTTGGCCATAGTCTGATACCATGTTTTCCAAGTCCCTTCATGGTTACTGGGTAGCTCTTGGCCCGACACTGCTGTTCTAAAAAAGCGAGTCTTTGTCTGATTCATATATTGAACAAATTGATTGGCTTCAGAGTCCCAAACGTCATGGACTCAGATCGAGTCCGATTTAGCTCGCCCCCAGACATGGTTGGAGCATAGTGTATCTAGCGTAATTTTGCCGGTGAGAGATCGGGAGTAACGTGCACAGGCAGCTATGCGCCGATATCCAGACCAAACGCATCCAGATCAGAGATCACCATGTTCGAAAATGAAGTTTTGCCACGGCACCTGACGTGTGCAAGGCACACTGCCCATCTTAAACACAAGACGTCCAACCTATGGGTTGTGCTACCGGCGAAGAAAATGATTCTCACTTTTTTGGACATGACAGCTATCAGCGCGTCGCAGCAAATTGTTCTGGTGCTGCGGTGGTCGTCGGGGTAGGTTTAGAGCGCTGCGTTGTGTGCAAGTAAGACATGAACATACTTCATCTTGATGGAGAACCCTGAACTCGAACCTAGGATTATGTTTGTCAAGTATGAAAGCGATGAACCATGGGAATATTAGCGGAGAGGAGTGCACGGCAATCAGTCGGTGATTCGCTGGCTGGAGTCGCCTGCAAAGCAAGATGCATTATTTTCACCTCCGCTTACAGTACATCAACTCACGATCCACATGGTCTCTGTTTCACGTATCAATTATTCAGCACAGTACATTTTGCGCCGGGAGGGTGCTGGGTATGACATCATTTGATGGGTAAAATAAGTGCCGCGGCCACTGCGTCAGGTACTAATCAAGACTACGGACAAAGGCGTGCATAACTGTCGCGAACAGAACGCCTTGGCAGGATGAACTTGGATGGTGTAGATGTGACAACATCTACGGTTTCCAGCCACGTTTCCCTTGGATATATGTGTCTACACCGGCGCCGTTTTCACGAAAGGCATGCTCCTTGTTGCGTAGGATCGTACGTCTCCTTACGCCGAGTCCTTGTCGCCTGCTCTTGATCTTGATATATCGGTCACCATTGCCTCTCACTCACACACTACTGCTCGCCAAGCTCATGCCGCCGCCTGCATTGCAGATAATTAATGGTAATCTCTATTGACGCTTTTGTAATTTCCAGCATAACGGACGAGACGTCATCCATCCGTTTTTTCTGTGACAAGAAGGTCGTGTAGCCAGCATGCTTTGAAACTGACTGCATTTCCTCCTTACCGCTTTTCAACGCTAAGTTGCGTGGTCTAGGGCTTCAGTATACCCTCTTGTTGTCCTCCCATCTGTTGCAGACTGCTGCACCATAAGCTGGTCTACAAGCACATTCACAAGTGGCATCACGAGTGGACGTCTCCCATCTCGATCACGGCGCTGTACGCCCATCCGGTGGAACACGTGCTCTCCAACTACTTGCCGATCTTCCTGGGCGTGCTGGTCATGGGCAGCCACGTGGCTACCTCTTGGCTCTGGTTCGGCATGGCCATCCTCTCCACCATCAACGCCCACTCGGGCTACCATCTGCCGTTCTTCCCCAGCCCGGAGGCACACGACTTTCACCACCTGAAGTAAGTGTGGACCGACCTTGGTGGCCCGGAAAACAGTCATGTTGGATGACCGCTACTGCTTATAGTTTTCTTTTTCACACGTTGGTAGGTTTCGTTGTCAACGACCATCGCTTTTGTTTTGAGACCATGCCTGTCAGAAAGACGGCATTAGAACATTTCGTTGGTTGTGTAACCCAATTTTATTAGAGGACAGCTTGTCGGAAGCGCCCAGCTCCTCGGTGGTATCTTGTCACATCAGGCTGCCCAAGGTTTTGTTCCACACCTGTTTATCTGCCTGCCAAATGTTTTATTGCTGGGTACAACGACATGATCGAAGCGGACAAACGTTAGAGCTGACTGTGGTTTTTCGGTTTAGCTTGTATTGCTATCGCTATTGCTCCTGTGTCAGACACTACTAGAGGAAATCGTGTGGTACACTTAGACACTTGTCAATGAAGTTATTACCATAGAAAATCCACAAGATGGGCCGCGGAATGTAATTACAAACTCAAAACGTCGCGACCGTGTTTTTGAAATGGGCCACCGTGTGAGAGCTTGCTGATTCCGTCTGATCGTTCTGGTGTCCTTGCAAAAGCACACGGCTGTTTCAGTGATGTTTTCGAAGTATGCGCTGCTTATCTTGACATCGCATATATTGCTGACACCGTCCCATACGTTATGTGCCTGAGGTTGTGGGCCCTGTCCCGTCCCTCCCCGCCCCATTGCCATCTGGGCCTCTTTCAACATATCCTGTTCCCAGCTGGTCACGGTGCGCCCCTCTCCTTCCCCTCTCATTCCCCTTTCCGTTCCCACCTGAACACCGTCTGTTTGTTTGCTGTTAATTATCTATCGTTAACGTGAATCAGCACATGGTGTGGTGGGTGGATTGGTGCAAAACCGGAACCATTACATCTGAGCGCCGTTCCTTCTGATAACGAAAATCAGTCATCACCGCCAAGAAACCCACGGCCCACCGCCCACGTGTCCGATGTGCTAGCTGAGACGGGCCGCGTGTCCCCGCCGCTCTGGTTCACACATGGCGAACTCCGGCCGGCGGCGGACACCCGGCTCGGTAACGCCATACAGCCAGCCCTCAGCTGCCACTGCCCTCTGGAGGCTTTTAAGTAAATCGTTTGGTTTGGGGGAGAGATGCTCGGGAAATTTTTGCTATCTGGTGTCCCTTGCAATTCTGTAAACCGATGCCTCTGAGATATACATTGAGTTGCTTACTGGAAATGCGCACGTAAAAGTTTTGTATAATGCGGCCTGTCTCACTCAGTATCGAAATTCTGATTCCATGCTACCGAGGCCAGCTCAGAACATAACACAGCGTTTTGGATTTTCATATGGATGACTACACAAGCAAGAGGGATTAGGTGCTGGTGGGTTTTCAGTTTGGAACATGTGAGCAATGAGGTCCGACAGTCTCAATTTCAATTAAGTATTTAAGGTGTTACCTAGCCTAGATCCGAAGCTGTGATACACTGGAGGTGCAGCCAGACCGTAGTGTTTGTATATTTCCCGTTTGAAGGAACTAGAAGATGAAAGGGAAGTCACCTCAACCATCCCACCCCGTTCCCATCTGGGCCATTACCGTACCTCGCCGAGCCTGACGACTCTACTCTGTGACAGGTTTAACCAGTGTTTCGGCGTGCTGGGCGTGCTGGACCGCCTGCACGGCACGGACGACAAGTTCCGCCAGCAGCCGAACTACCAGCGGCACGTGATGCAGCTGAGCCTGGTGCCGCTGCGACAGATGTACCCGGAGCCCGAGAAGAAGGGCGCCAAGGAGCATTGAGCGGCTGGGAAGCGGATGCCGAGGACAAGCTGCCCTCGGCGCCCTGAAGGCCAACAGAGTCGGCTTTCCTGTGCTGGCCGGTAGCTGCGATGCCTGTGATTAGGCCTCTAACAGAAGCTTGCTGTTTTCCCGTCAATGGAATGTCGGAAATCCCTGATAGGCATAGTAATATGGTACATATTGATTCTGTCGCGCCAGGTTTGTAGCTAAAGCTAGCCGACTTCCCCGGGGTCATATATGAGGAACATTAGGCCACTCGTAAGGAAAGGCCGCCCCATATAGGCGGCCTTTCTTCAGCATCTCACAAACCTTATAGGTTTGTGAGATGCTGTAAATCTAAGTTTTTAAAGACATTGGGGTCTGTGCTGCAAGACAATTATTGTATGTGTTACCAACACCAGCCCGGTCATCCTGCGCTTTTGTTGGAAGATGCGCTGAATCTTTCACATAAAATGTACCGGCAAGTTCTATATTTTATTTAGCCCTTATACTTGCATTGGTAGCGCACTACGTACCCGTGACACGGCTTTATGCAGGTCATCAAGGTGCAAAAATCACATCCTGGTCGGTGATTCGTTGATGTCGAGTTGTCTATGGGGGGAAAGCGTTAGACAACAGTGTGATTTTGCATCAGGCATTGCGACGTGATGATGAGACATACGTGTCGCACAAATCCAATGTTGCTCGTGTCTGGAGCCGGTCTGTTTCTGGGGTTGACGTTGACACCACACGCCACCCTCTGAGGGTAGCGATATGACTGTCACGTTAGCTTCATCTGCGCAGTCGACGGTCAGTTGGTCACCACCGGCGTGACGTGAGACACACGACTTGGGCAGAAAATCACCGGCGCCGGCCTGGTGGGCCCGCTACGGTGTTGACGCGTTAGGACCGGACGCCAGATAAAGCCTCATATCAAGTCCTGCGCAGAACATTGGTGGCGGTGCGCAGGCCTGTCTTAGTTTCACCGTTCAGTGTGCTTTTCTTCGCTGTGTTTGATTACCGCTTTAATACATTAGTCATACCAAAAATGTTGTTTCCTGCTTCGAGCTGACAGGTTTTCACTGAACGCATCTGTGAATTTGCACATTCTGCCTAGAAAACATTTCCACAATCGCAAATAGCGGTTGTTCTTTTGCCGGGTGACAAGATTTTTGCAAGTTTACGATCGTGAAAAACTCAGTCGTTCTGATTTTTGTAACTATTTTGTTGTCGAGTGGGCGAGCTAAGCTAACGTCGCAGTTGTTCACAACTCTGAACTGAATTATTTCGCGTGCAATGGCACATTTCGTTTAAACGAAATGCGTTTAGAGATGCTTTCCGCATCCTAGTAAAACTGTATTGTTGGATGGGATTTTGGGTATGAAATGCGAGTTTATTCGTCCACACATTGCATACTATAATCATTTAGTGTCACAGGAAATATGCATAGTCCCGGATAAGGAACTGAACTATTCTATATAAGGAACTTTTCACTCCGACCTAAGTCATTTGTGGTCCTTTAATATAGTGCTTTATAGTCCTAAGTAAGAATCCTTTATGAAGCTATCACTCACAGGTAACTGATTCAAACAAAATACTCCCTCGGCCACCGCTGACGGGAAAATCCGATTTCGTTTATCTAATCGAAGTGCTACGTTTGCTTGCCACCGCCATTGCGAGCAAATTTTTAAAGTAGCATTTCACGTCAGCCACAATATTATTATATACGAGTTGGTCAGTCGGGTTGTCACAGGATACTGCGCGTTCGCAAGGACTTGGAAGTCGTGTGCATTACGCCCCCGCAGTTCCATTGTAAAGCATTGCCATTGTGATGCTGAGAGGACTCTTCTTTCCCCGGACCACATCTTCCTGATTTTGTCAGCGAAAAAAATGGCACCCTGTTCTCCTCGGGCCACGCATTCTTGGTTTTGGCAGCGAATAAATGACACTCTGTTTCCCCCGGACCATGTATCTTTGGGAGCGAATATTACACCCATCAAAACCTCACAACAACTCACAATACAATCACGACTTTCCGTGAACATCAAGAGCTTTACGACGAAACGCATCCCGAAGCTTGGTATGCGTTAAAAGTTAAGATATCACTATCACTCGGCACCTCGACAGATCGGATGACCGCTCTCAGTTTGTCGCACCCCTCAAAATGTTCGGTTTTTCAGTTGTAGCACAGCACACGCTAGGTTCCTAGCAAGCCGCCCGGGCTTTCTGTCCACCACCTGGCCGACCGGTAACCGCTGTGCTGAGTTCAGCCAGGGAGACGCACCTGCAGGGGTCACATACAACGAATATTCCGTGATAGGTCTCTGGTTACAATTGACCCGAGTTGCTACAGCCTGGCGAGGGTCGTTGAGTCCTAAATGTTGGGCTGGCACACTGTTGTGAATAGCTAAAAGAACATCACCGTACGCGAATGTGTTCGGGGGCTTATCTCCATGGTATGCTGAAAAGCCTTTCATCGTCCATTTAGCGTCGGGTCGAAACTTCGTCTCCAGGAGACGGGTTGTCACAGTATACTGCGCGTTCACGAGAACTTGGAGATCTTGTGCATTACGCCCCTGCAGTTCTATGGTAGAACACTTAGGGAATAAGAAATGAACGGCTCTTAAGCCTCTACCGTTCCACTCTCAAAAGCATCTGCAAAGGGGCGTATTAAAAGTACGATTAAAGCAGTATTAAAATATCACGGTCACGACCTAGCAAAACTGCCTCCCAGCAGTGGACGAACTCAGTCCATCTTGTGGCGTCGACTGAGCCCGAGCGAACCCTTGGCCGGACCCTAGGGCTACCGCCGTCTAATGGTGAGCTGGAGTGCTCACCATCGGGGCACCTAAACGCGTAGGGCCACATCCAAGTGCCCCGCGCTTCTCGGGGCGTCCCGTTCTACACGGAGAAACCGCTGGAGAGGAGATGACCCTTGTTGGCAGCGGAGGGGGGGGGGGGGGGCGGAAGACCCACCGCTGGCTGCTGCGGGGCGCCTGACGCGGCCTCCACCCGCCTTCTGGGAGGTGGAACTGCCTCTCCCGTGGGACCAGGCCCGAGGCCCGCACCCGACGGCCGATTGGCTGCCTTGACCTTCTCCTGCTCGAGCAGGCGAGCGTGTTTGGCGTCAGAGGCACATCTTTCTGCCTCATGACGCTCCAGATTGTCCAGTGTCATTCCCCTAGGCTCAGTCGGCACCGTCGGTACTGAGGCTCTTAAGGTGGTGGGCTGCGGAGCAGGCGCTCGCACCTTCCCGGCGAGGACCGCGAGGCTCACTCCCGGCATGCATTCAGCGTCCCCCGCCGGTGCGGGCTGGGGCGGCGACACAGCGGCTTGGGACTTGGCCCACGTCTCAGAAGGGGCGCGGGCTGCCAACGAGACGGGAGAAGGCAATGCCACTGCAGTGACGGCTGGCGTCTGAGACATCGGCGTCACAGTAAGGTGTGTAAAGAGTTAAATGGGGTGTGCTGCAGTCATCTCATTCAGGGAAAGTTGGTGTATGATGGGGCCTATGATGTGGCTTTATGCTACTTTTGGGTGACTCATTTCTTATGTGTTCTTTTCTTCACGAAAAGATAGGTTCTTTGTAGTTTTTAGGGCTATAATTTCCTTCCCCCTAACGTAAGCTGGGTATGCATGATTTAAAGTTGCGTGAGGTGTCTGCTGTTTGCCCCAGCAAACCCACCAAAGGCACATCTGCAGTGCAATGGTCACTCGCGTGCTCCCGCCAGGCATACTTACCACGGGCTGCCTGGTCACGACACGAGTCTCCTGTGTGGCCGAACATCCGGCACCTTGAACACATCATCGGGTTCGGAATAGAAAGGTGCACATTCACTTTATTATAACCCACCCTACCCGCAGATGGCATGTCAGAAGGTTAAACCTAAGTACGATGTTGTTTACGGGCGAAACGGCAAGCGTGTCACTTAAAAATCAGCCAGGCCGTCGATAATTTCGTCGCAACCTACATCTTTCCAGTCAAGACGGTTCATGATACCTTTTGCCGAATTTTCGCTCCCGTGGACTTCCACCGTCGTCGCGACCGACACGAACGTCTTGCTTTCTGCGTCCCGAGCACAGTACACGAGCCTGTCCGATGTCATAGCCCGTCTCGCCTCGTCTCCGTTCTCAAACTATGCTTCGATCCCACCGCCCCTCAGACCATCACAGCGGAAAACCATTCAAAGTCTATGACAGCCATTTTGCCCTTGAAACAGTAAAAAGGGATAACAGCACCTTCTCGGAAGTTTGAAACGTCAAGATTTGAGTGGCATGGCGGACGCAGGGTAAAAGGGGTAAAAGCAGCTGACGCACAATCACTTGTAACGGAATCGTTACATCCCCTTTTTCTGGATGCAGGTTTTTTCTTTGAAGTCGCCATGTACGTACGGTTAAGCATTCGGCACCGAAACCTCGTACTCAACTCGGAGCCCAGATGAGGAACGGCCCACCCACCGAATTGGGAGGTGGTGCCGCCACAGTCCTCGGCGTTATATGGGGCGAACGACGCCCGCCACCCGGCCAGGGGTAATCGGGGAGACTCGCTTTCCATTCGACTTTTATCCATTTGAATTCTTCCACTTGCCGTTCGGCCCCGAAATCATCATAGCTAAGCAACACGAAATCCGTTGACAAATATTAGGTGCTTCTGACTGCGTGGGTGCGCCGGTTTCAATTCTGCAGCTCTGCTCTCGATCTATCGCCTGGGCCGGCCTCCGCGCGGCCGGACCCAGTCACCTTGTGTACATTGTACTCAAGGTCGGGCTGAGGGCGGCACTTGTGTGGCAGGGCGAGGCCGGGCAGCGTCTCTCCGCATGAGTGCCGGGTTTTCGCCAGTATTTGCGTAGTGTGCTGACTGGTCCGGGGCACGATGCAGGAGATGCGGGGGCCGCGCCCTGAGGCGCGTGAGGGTGCCCTCAGGTCGTTGCTCAGCTCTATCCAGAGCTCCGTATTCGTGATCGGCTCGGCCTTAGTGGTCCTAGCGGCCTTCAGGAACACAATCACATGGTAAGGACGCCCTTTACAAAACTCTTCTGCGTTTCGTGCCCCCATTGGATACTGATGTTATGAAATGATGCTCTCATGACGTCATGTTACTACTCGACTCTGTCAGCACTTCACATTGTTTGAAAATGCAGGATATCCGTGGTCAGGTTGATTTCTGACAAATAGACGTTTGACGTCACGGACGTCACCGGCGTCATGCAACCTCTCTAACCTTTCTGGACCTGTATACAATGAGATGAGGTCAAAGATAGCATGTATGCAAGAATGTTCAGCACACCGATTGCAATGATCTGATTTATTAACGACTGTGGTTCGGTGTGAGAATACCGTTCTGAAAATTGACATGAGATCATCCATGGCAGATATAATTGACATCGTGATGTATCTAAAAACAAAAACAAAGTCAGCTTTGTTGCCTGGAGGTGCTTGACGACATCATAGGCCCTGTCTCGGAAAGCACAATGAGGAAATAAGTTTGGTGAGGTTAGTCGTCGTCGCCGTCACTGGCACGCGCCGCTGCAAGACGAAATTGTTCATCTGACGTTTTTAAGGCACCAGACGCCATCAATTATCCTGAAACAAGAACAGTTCATGGGAGTCTTATCAGCTTACCTTACAAACACAGTAATAACGATAACCATGGCATACGCCGGCCAGACGTCGGGCCGTTCAAGGCCCTAGAATAGAAGGTATGACCGTCCGGCCGAATTCCGCAGCTTCGACTGATGACGTCACAAGTGTACTCCGCACGTAATGGTCAACGGCGGATGCATGCCTATCGCAGTTTGCTTGGTTTTTTAAAACGGTTCTGAGACCGGAAGCCCTTAAATATTTTTGGTTAGATCATCAATAGACTATCTTTTCTCCGAACAAGCATAATATCAGGTCTAAAGGTTATGAATCATTAATTGGTTGGCTTCCCAGCCGAGCGCCTTGGGCTGGAAGGCCGGGAGATATGGCTTACGAGGATTTTTCGAGAAGTAAGTGCCTAATTTGGAAATTCATGTGCAAACGGAGAGTAAAAGGGCGCATCTTCAAAGAAACAACAATTAGAAATCATGCTGATATGAAAGGTCAAGGTCAGGTCAAAAGCCTGCAGACCCCCCTTTGCATTACTGTTTATGTGGGTTGGGCCTACTGAAGCATGTTTCATCTCTTAAAAATTCGTCTCTTCGGCTAAGTGAGGATGCCGTGTGACGAACATGCTGATGCCGTATAGGGGTCAGGTCAAGGTCATGCCATAGGTTGACGTGACAATTTAATTTATTTATGCGACCCATGATTCGAAATATTTTCACATCCATTCTGCTCGCGTTATGATTATTAAACGTCAGCTTTGATTTTGTTAGCCAGAACATTGTCAAGATGTAGGCGGGACGCCGAGATGAGATCATAGGTCAACATAGCATGCAGTAAGTAAGTCATGTCATGCATGTTTCCGGACTACTTATCACACAGGAGAGTCATCTTAGTGCGCGAACACATCAAAACCTGTCGTTTGCCACAACCTTCTCTGGTCTCTCAAAGGCATTCAATAGCCATGGGCGGGTTAGGAACTCTGGGCTCGTCTGGTTTGAAATGCAGATCTCATAATTTTCAAACGGGTAGAAGTTTCAGTATTCTTCAAGTACTTCACCTTTTTTAGAAGAAGAAAAATCTCCACCGCGAGCGTTTTACGCGCAGTGCGGCACGGGCTCAACCAGCTCGCGTTAGCAGGATTGCCCGACTTTGAAATCATACAATCCAAACGACATCTTTAGCACCAAAAATAATGAGCAGGCAATTAACATTATTCACCACGTCGTTTCGACCACTGCTACTCACAATGCTCGCATGATTGCCTATCATCATCAAGAAATAACCATCTGATAATATAATATTTTCGGCCACAAACAGGTCATGATTTTTAACACGCAGACAGCCGACGATTTATAGCATGTACTAAAAGGGCAACATAAGCACCAAATTACGTACATTCGAGCAATCAAAAAGTATCCCAGTTCTTCACATTCGTGTCTCGAATTGATATTCCCAAACAGACAGCACAGAGAAAAACCCAACAATGTCGGCGGAACTGAAGCAATTCCAGCAGTCTTAAAAAACGGACCAAGCCACGGGAACCAAACACCGAAGCCAAGCCAACGTTTTCGGTACGGTACATTGACGTCTATTAGCGCAGTGCATCTCATACATGAGTCCGGATAATGTGATTCACACTTATTAGGACCAAACGCATCGTGACGACATTGTCGCTTAAACTACAACATTTGGGTTCAATTAATATGACTACTCCGTTGCCGTGACATGCTGCCATCATGTGCAGAGGGACTGTCGTAGTACCCTCTTAAAGTAGTGCACCTCTTGTACAATTCCAACGAGCAAGGCTTGAAATCGCTCTGACATCCAGAGACATACTCTGCCGAGATAATATGCCAACAGCCACCCTAAGGAAACGGATCAAGCCTCGGGAAACGAAGACTGAAGCAAGGCCAGCGTTTTCGGTACGGTACATATACGTCTGTTAGCGTAGTGCACCTCACACACGAGTCCGGATAATGCGATTCACACCTTTAGAACTGAACACGTCGTGCTGACAATGTCGATGGAACTGCAAGACTTCGGTCTGATGAATAAGACTCATGCATTGCCGTGAGATGCTGCAATCATGTCGTGCAGAGGGACTGTCGTAGCACCCTCTTAAAGTAGTGCACCTCTTGCACAATTCCAACGAGCAAGGCTTGAAATCACTCTGACATCCAGAGACATACTCTGCCGAGATATTATGCCAACAGCCACCCTAAGCAAACGGATCAAGCCCCGGGAAACGAAGACTGAAGCAAGGCCAGCGTTTTCGGTACGGTACATATACGTCTATTAGCGTAGAGCACCTTACACACGAGTCCGAATCATGCGATTCACACTTATTAGGACCAAACACATCTTGCTGACGATGTCGGTGGATATGCCAGACCACGGTCTGATGAAAAAGACTCATGCATTGCCGTCAGATGTTGCCATCATTGGCGGACGGACTGCAGTAGCACCCTCTTCAAGTAGTACACCTCTTGTATAATTCCAATTGGCGAGACCTAGAAACCACTCTGACATCCAAAGACGTACTCTGCCGAGATAATATGCCAACAGCCACGCTAAGCAAACGGACCAAGCCCCGGGAACCGAAGACTGAAGCAAGGCCAGCGTTTTCGGTACGGTACATATACGTCTGTTAGCGTAGCGCACCTCACACACGAGTCCGGATCATGCGATTCACACTTATTAGGACTAAACACATCTTGCTGACGATGTCGGTGGATATGCAAGACTTCGGTCCGATGAATAAGACTCATGCATTGCCGTCAGATGTTGCCATCATGTGCGGACGGACTGCAGTAGCACCCTCTTCAAGTAGTACACCTCTTGTATAATTTCAATTGGCGAGACCTAGAAACCGCTCTGACATCCAAAAACGTACTCTGCCGAGATAATATGCCAACAGCCACCCAAAGCAAACGGACCAAGCCTCGGGAAACGAAGACTGAAGCAAGGCCAGCGTTTTCGGTACGGTACATATACGTCTGTTAGCGTAGTGCACCTCACACACGAGTCCGGATAATGCGATTCACACCTTAAGAACTAAACACGTCGTGCTGACAATGTCGATGGAAATGCAAGACATCGGTCCGATGAATAAGACTCATGCATTGCCGTGAGATGCCGTCATCATGTCGTGCAGAGGGACTGTCGTAGCACTCTCTTAAAGTAGTGCACCTCTTGTACAATTCCAATGAGCAAGGCCTGAAATCGCTCTGACATCCAGAGACATACTCTGCCAAGATAATATGCCAACAGCCACCCTAAGAAAACGGACCAAGCCCCGGGAAGCGAAGACTGAAGCAAGGCCAGCGTTTTCGGTACGGTACATATACGTCTGTTAGCGTAGTGCACCTCACACACGAGTCCGGATCATGCGATTCACACTTTTTAGGACCAAACACATCTTGCTGACGATGTCGGTGGATATGCGAGACTTCGGTCCGATGAATAAGACTCATGCATTGCCGTCAGATGTTGCCATCATTGGCGGACGGACTGCAGTAGCACCCTCTTCAAGTAGTACACCTCTTGTATAATTCCAATTGGCGAGACCTAGAAGCCGCTCTGACATCCAAAGACGTACTCTGCCGGGAAAATATGCCAACAGCCACCAGCCAGCCAGCCAGCCGTCGTGCGGACAATGTCGGTTGAGTTACAACACTTCGGTTCAATGAACAACACCCATGCATTGCCGTGAGGTATCACAATCACGTTGCGCGGACTGGCCGTATAAGCAGCCTCTCAAAGTTGTGTACCTCTTGCATTTTTCCAGTTGTCGAGACCTCAAAACGGCTGCGGCATCCAATAACATTTTCTACCGAGGAAGTACTCTCGTGTATAAGGTACGCTGCGCTTATAAATATATATGTACCGTACCGAAAACGTTGGCCTCGCTTCGGTCTTCGGTTTCCGGGGCTTGGTCCGTTCCCTTAGAATTGCTGTTGACACATTATTTCGGTGCAGTGTGTCTTTGGATGACAAAGCGGTTTTTAGGTCTCGCCAACTGGAATTATGCAAGAGGCGCACTACTTTAAGAAGATGCTACTACAGTCTGTCCGCACATGATGGTGACATCCCACGACAGTGCATGAGTCTTATTCATTGAATCAAAGTATTGCAGCTCAACCGACTTTGTCGGCACAATGTGTTTATTTCTACTTAGTGTGAAACGCGTTATGAGGGCTCTTGTTTAAGGTGCCCCGCACGACTAAACGTATATGTACCGTACCTAAACCGTTGCCTTTGCTTCGGTCCTCGGTTCCCGGGGCTTGGCTTTGTTCCTCAGGGTTCGTGTCGGGATGTTTTCTCGGCGGGGTGTGTCTTTGCCTATCAGAGTGGTTTTTAGGTCTCGCCAATCGGAATTATACAAGAGGTGTACTACTTCAAGAGGGTGCTACTACATCCTGTCCACACATGATGGCAGCATCTCACGGCAATGCATCAGTCTTATTCATCGGACCGAAGTCTCGCAGTTCCACCGTCATCGTTAGCACGATGTGTTTATTTTCCATAAGTGTGAATCGCCTGATCCGGACTCGTGCATGGGGTGCACTGCGCTAATAGACGCATATGTGCCGTACCGAAAACGCTGGCCTAGCTTCAGTCTTCGGTTCCAAGGCTTGGTCCGTATCCTTAGGATTTTTATTGGCATATTATCTCGGCAGAGTATGTCTTTGGATGTCAGAGCGGTTTTAGGTCCCGCCAATTGGAATTATACAAGAGGTGTACTACTTGAAGAGGGTGCTACTGCAGTCCGTCCGCCAATGATGGCAACATCTGACGGCAATGCATGAGTCTTATTCATCGGGCCGTGGTCTCGCATATCCACCGACATCGTCAGCAAGATGTGTTTGGTCCTAATAAGTGTGAATCGCATGATCCGGACTCGTGTGTAAGGTGCACTACGCTAATAGACGTATATGTACCGTACCGAAAACGCTGGCCTTGCTTCAGTCTTCGTTTCCCGGGGCTTGATCCGTTTGCTTAGGGTGGCTGTTGGCATGATATCTCGGCAGAGTATGTCTCTGGACGTCAGAGCGATTTCAAGCCTTGCTCGTTGGAATTGTGCAAGAGGTGCACTACTTTAAGAGGGTGCTACGACAGTCCCTCTGCACGACATGATTGCAGCATCTCACGGCAATGCATGAGTCTCATTCATCAGACCGAAGTCTTGCAGTTCCATCGACATTGTCAGCACGACGTGTTCAGTTCTAAAGGTGTGAATCGCATTATCCGGACTCGTGTGTGAGGTGCACTACGCTAACAGACGTATATGTACCGTACCGAAAACGCTGGCCTTGCTTCAGTCTTCGTTTCCCGAGGCTTGATCCGTTTCCTTAGGGTGGCTGCTGGCATATTATCTCGGCAGAGTATGTCTCTGGATGTCAGAGCGATTTCAAGCCTTGCTCGTCGGAATTGTACAAGAGGTGCACTACTTTAAGAGGGTACTACGACAGTCCCTCTGCACGACATGATGGCAGCATGTCACGGCAACGGAGTAGTCATATTAATTGAACCCAAGTGTTGTAGTTTAAGCGACAATGTCGTCACGATGTGTTTGGTTTTAATAAGTGTGAATCACATTATCCGGACTCGTGTATGAGAGCACTGCGCTAATAGACGTCAATGTACCGTACCGAAAACGTTGGCTTGGCCCGTTTTTTAAGACTGCTGGAATTGCTTCAGTTCCGCCGACATTGTTGGGTTTTTCTCTGTGCTGTCTGTTTGGAAATATCAATTCGAGACACGAATGTGAAGAACTGGGATACTTTTATTGATTGCTCGAATGTACGTAATTTGGTGCTTATGTTGCCCTTTTAGTACATGCTATAAATCGTCGGCTGTGCGTGTTAAAAATCATATGACCTGTTTGTGGCCGAAATTATTATATTATCAGATGGTTATTTCTTGAAGATGATAGGCAATCATGCGAGCATTGTGAGTAGCAGTGGTCGAAACGACGTAGTGAATAATGTTAATTGCCTGCTCATTATTTTTGGTGCTAAAGATGTCGTTTGGATTGTATGATTTCAAAGTCGGGCAATCCTGCTAACGCGAGCTGGTTGAGCCCGTGCCGCACCGCGCGTAAAACGCTCGCGGTGGAGATTTTTCTTCTTCTTAAAAAGGTGAAGTACTTGAAGAATACCCAAGTTTCCAGTTGCCGCCAGTACAGGAAAACAAACTTTTTCATAACAACTAGGCAATTTCTAATTCACAGATTACCTTTATTTATGCATGAATGCAACACTAGCATGATTTCATCAATGCCAACAGCAGTCACATAATGTCCTTATTCTAACAATGGGGCATGGTTAAAAGACCTGGCAACAGCACCCCTCCTCCAAACAGCGTGCGGTCCCCCGCACGATACTGACGCATCAAGGCCATCTCGACGGATTAACCAGCGTTGGCGTTTTCAGGGTGGTGTTTGCATGCTGTTTTGTTGATTGGTGGACGTGGCGGCAGATATGACGTCTTGACGTGGAATATAATATTGGACACCAAGGGGGCGCAGGGTGATGGGGGTGGGGAGCCTGGCCAAGGTGGTTATGCTAGGCTGGGCTAGGTTAGGTTAAGTTAAGTTGGGTTAAGCTAAGTTAAGTTAGGTTGGATAGGGTTAGGTTAAGTTAGGTTCGGTTAGATTTTGGTCCTTTTGCATTCTTTATGTGACTGTTTTCGCGGACCAGTTGCAGGTCATCTGGGCCTTGGGTCTAAAAGGCCAGGGTTAGTTCGTCGCTGAACGATTCCACCTCGTGCAGTGACAGTTTGACTTATGGTGCAATATCGCTCATCAATATTGTTTGATGAAAGATATTTTATTTAATTATCGTTGCATTCCTCATGGCTCTTGATGCGCGGCAATTCCACCACGTTGCGGCAGTGGCGCCGGCGGGTGGGGAGTGCTGCGTCTCTGGAGCGCTCGGGCGTTCGCTATCGTAAGTTTTAAGATAAGAAGCTAAGAGTATAGACGGACCTGCTTTATGCAATTTGCTGCCTTAAGAAGACAATTTATGTACGAGGTTTTTTATCATTGTAAGGTACCTATGTCCGCCCATACCATTGTTTTAGAAAATAATAATTGCCATCTAGCAGTTCCTTTTAATCCTGAAGAAGATGATCGGTTTCACGTATTTGTGTGTTTAGGTATGAGTTGTATACCTAGTTTTGGTATGAGCTTCATTAAATGACCTTGAAAATTGCATGACCTCTACTTCATGACAGCGTGACTCGACTGGGCTCAAACTTTCACAACAGAATCAATGCATATGAATAACCCTATGCTCCTAGTCAAGAGTTATTGTTATTTTAACATATGGTAGCATTGTCTTGTTTGTACGATTTGTTCCAGTGCGCCTCATGGTAAGGTACCAGTTTGCTCCACTGCTATCACCATGTTAACTATATGGCTACGATCTTGATACATCTGATAGAGGATCGATTCACACATTTAACAAGCTTTGCGACATTTTGTAATTGAAGTCCGACACAGCATAAGCCTAGGTTTTGTACTCGAGTAAAACCAACTGACGTTGGCGCCTACTTTAACACGGATCTACCTGGGTCTGGATCTGGTTGCGTCGTGTTTTGACTGTTGGCCTATGTGTCGTTCTGTGCTCAAGCTTTCTTGGAATGATGTGCCTTTTAGCATCAGACAAGAAAACATATGAACGGCACCTTTGCCGTCCGAAATGGTTCATGGGAAGAACATGTTATGACATTTCAGTATACTTCATAGAAAAACTTACTGTCAATACGAAATAGGATTCCAAATTGGCAAGTAATTTTAAGGATTGAAAAAGAGCATGACAGGAGATGGAACAGTGAATTGGAAAACCTTGAGGGCTACTACGCCAAATTAAACAGCTGTTAATCTCGACGTTTGTGCTGCCTTTAACGTTCTAGATTAGTCCAAGCCAAAAAGTGGCGGATTAGCACCGATACATTCTCGGATGGTATCAACTGCCCTGAAATGTGCAAGCCGTATCCGCTCCCATTTGCTTGGATCGCAACCCACTGGGATCGCACAGCTGTGTTAATGCGGTATGGTGTGAAATAGTTTTGACGCCTTGGCTCAGCGTAGAGTGTCGCTGCAATGACAGAGTGTCGCTGTCAAAACGTTGACTGTCGCTCTCAACGTCTTTACATGTGCAGTCAGCTGACAATCCGCATCCACCAGCTCTCTGGAAAAGGTCAGCTCGATATTGATATTTTGTTCTTAGGTTACAAACCACTTTGCCAAACACTAGGGAATTAGGTACTGTGTTCTATGGCTTTTAGCTATATTTTTGCCTGCAGGCATTTTCAGCAGCTTTGGGGGACCTCCGGAAACCTGTGGCAGTCAATCTGGGATCAAGTGTATGACTTCTTCGGAGGGGACCAGTACAAGATATTCATCTATGGTAAGTGGCCTTTGTTGCGCTACCTGCCACCTGCTTGGGCATGTAGACGATATTTTCCAGTGTCCCAGTCTGGTTCTCATGCGTATGTGAGATATGCCTGGCATATTGGTATGGCTTGGGTTTCATGGCCCGGAATTTCTTAGGACCTGAAGGTGTGTTGTATTCACTACCAGTGTTCTATGTTATTTGTTTATGTCGGTACCTGTTCGATGAGTTTAACGGCTGAGTGTGAATCATCCAAGGACAGGTCTAGGTGGTTCAACAGCACCAGGTGCTGTAGATCGCACGAATGTAGACCGAGTGAGTCGTACTTGAACAGTGCGAAAATGCAGCTTCCGCGTGCCGTTCCGGCTCGTCAGGCTGCTTCATGAGACTGGATCAAGCGTGACATGGTGACGGGCCACCAATATGTATATTCGCATATTTACAACTCGTCCATGCCGTGAGCAAACTTGTATTGGTCAGTGGCTGTGCGGATCGGTGCGCCATCGCCAGTTGTGGTGGAACCCTGGCCACGTGTGTAGGACATGCAAAACCGTCAGCGAGAAATCCTTCGACACGCACGGTTGGCCGGACACGAAACAGACTCATCTGGCGCAGACCGGCCTGATCATCCTATTTCCGGTTATGCAACAACTTTGCACGTGGAAGCCGTCGAGTAATTGTGAGAAACTGAATGGCATGGGTCATTTGCCCTAACCAATGGGTATAGGGATGAGCGAACACTGCAAGTGCGCAGCCAGATGCACCCCATACCTGTCCAAAACCGGACAGTTCCTGGATTTGGCCTGCGTGGTATTTAAAATTGGTGAAGGCGACTGGAAGGCTGGGGGCAGGGGCAGCGAGCTGGGATGTTAATGAACATTCTTCCCCAGCTACATGTAGTGGATACTACGTCTCTAGTTGCAAACGTTTGAAACGGATCAAATAGGGTAGATTTTGCGTCATTCCTGCATAGGAAAGAATGCACCGTGTTACCTTTACGCTGCAACGCTAGTGATGTAAAGTTGTGATAGTGATGCCCGTCCAATTCGAAGACCCGGTATCGTATGTGCACGCAGCCATCATGTCAATCTTTGGGCCAAAATGTCACAGCGCTGTGAGCTGAAGCAAACGGCGTAAACATAGCTGTCATAGCTGCCATTATTTTGTGCTTATTGGAGTAAATATGCTTCTTACCGGAATGTGCGTTTTGCGCGTGCTCCACAAAAAGTAAGTCGGTTTTCTATGGGAGGCGCGAGCCCTTTGGTCGCATGTCGCCCTGGTTTTCAGTGGCGAATTTGGCTTCTAACGACAGCTAGTCTGCTCGCCGCAGGGACGCTGATCTTTACCCTAGTTGTGTTCTGGACGGCCAGCAGCATCTATATCTTGATGGATGTGCTGCTGAAGCCCGAGCAGCTGCGTCGCTACAAGATGCAGCCGGGCACCAACGAGCCGGTGGACACTCGCCGCCTGTTGCAGGTCAGTACCCGAGGTCACTTGAGGTCGCGGGGTCGTTGAGCTAGTTGTGGTTCAGGGACGTCTTCCGAAGCTGTGAATTTCAGGGTCCTGACTGCATGTAGATACAAGCGAAACTAAGATGCAGTGACCAGAGGAGTGAGAGCGAATTTGAAGTGTGCTTCAATCACGTGTTAACTATGGGTTGTTGTTATCTGCCCGGTTAAAGTTCATCAGCGTACTGATTGTTGTGGGAGAACGCACAAAATCGTATACTTAAACAGAAACCTAACAGATGTTCATCATTTTAATCATCATCATCGTTGTCGTCGTCACCGTCACCATCATCGTCATCATCATCGTTATCGTCATCTTCATCGTCATCGTCATCACCATCGTTATCGTCCTCAAGCCATCCGAAATTTCTCGCGCCGGCTGTGTGTCTCCGCCACCCTGTTCTGCAACACCCTGCTGACACCGTCACCGCACGCAGGCCGCCTTCTGGGTCCTGTTCAACCAGACGATAGTCGGTGTGCCGGTGATGATGGTGTTCTTCCCGGTTCTGGAGCTTCGCGGCTACGACGCGGGGCGCGAGCTGCCCACCTTCCATTGGGTGCTGCTCGAGCTGACCGTCTGCATACTAGTGCAGGAGGTGGGCTTCTACTATAGTCACAGGTCAGTAATGAGGAGGTGGGTCTGCTACAGCCACAGCCACGGTCAGTGATGGGGTGTCTGCTACAGCCACAGCCACAAGCCAGTGATGAGGGAAGGGCGGTCTGCTATGGTCACGACCACGGTCAGTGATGGACTTTCTGCTACAGCCACAGATCAGTGCTGAGGGGAAGGGCGGCCTGCTATAATCACAATCTTAGGTCAGTGGTATGGGAGGGGGCCTGCTACACCCACGATGGTCAGTACCGCGGCCACGGCCAGTGATGGGGTGTCTGCTACAGCCACAGCCACAGGGCAGTGCTGAGGGGTAGGGCGGTTGGCTATAATCACAGTCACAGGTCAATGATGGGGTGGGGAGGGGGTGGTCTGTTATTGCCACAGCTACAGGTCAGTGCTGAGGGGAAGGCGGTCTGCTATAGTCACAGCTAACGGTGAGTGATAGGGCGTCTACTATAACCACAGCCACACGTCACTGATGAGGTGTCTGCTACAGTCACAGCCGATTCATGCAAATTCTCCGATCCATGCAAACGATAGAGGCCACGACCAATGTAAATCGCTGACTTCGGCTTTGTTCCTGCTTGGGAAATGGCCGCTCAGGTCCATAGAACGGACTGGTGGTGTCTGACCGGCGTATAGGCTCCTATCGACTCAAGGGGTCCCGAGATCGGCGTAAAGGGCCCTCTGGCTGGGATTAGCGTGCCTGGCCCCACGGACCGGGCCGTAGGATCGAGATTATAGATCCATGATGCCACCTTCGGCCGGCTTTTCGGGCCCAAATCGGGCCTTTATCGTCGGATACAAAGGGTAATTCGGGCCCCTCATAGCCCTCCCCCCCCCCCCCGCCCATCAGTCCGCGGTATCAAAAATTGCGAACCAGGGCGATAGTTAATCCAGGAGACTAAAACAATGTGAACTTTCAGCTGTTGCTTGGCAACCAGACCAAAGCGACAACTCCACTACGGTCACTGGTTGTTATCCTCCGCGTATGCTTCTCGAGTGTCGCCTTTTAACGCCGTATTCACGGCAGGCATTTTCATCGCCAAACAGGGTCGTGCTGGTGGGTTGCCCAGTGCGAGTTTTTGGCAAGAGGTGTGTTTTCCGGGCTGGTGGTGTAACTTGAAGCAAACTTGATGTGCACGATTTCCAATGTTGTGCCGCGTTTCAACGTTAAATTGCGTGGTTTAGGGCTTCAGTATACCCTCTTGTTGTCCTCCCATCTGTTGCAGACTGCTGCACCATAAGCTGGTCTACAAGCACATTCACAAGTGGCATCACGAGTGGACGTCTCCCATCTCGATCACGGCGCTGTACGCCCATCCGGTGGAACACGTGCTCTCCAACTACTTGCCGATGCTTCTGGGCGTGCTTGTCACGGGCAGCCACCTTGCCACCTCTTGGCTCTGGTTTGGCATGGGCATCCTCTCCATCATCAACGCTCACTCAGGCTACCATCTGCCGTTCTTCCCCAGCCCAGAGGCACACGACTACCACCACCTGAAGTAAGTGCGGGACGCGGGGTTGAGGCGGCCTTCACCATGGCCGTCTTGGATGGCAACACTACACGTGGTTGTTTGCGCGCGGGCGAGCTTTATTACAGTCGACCAATGCAAACACTGCACGTAGTTGTTTGCGCGCGGGCGGGCTTCATTACAGTCGGCCGATGACAACACTGCACGTGGTTGTTTGCGCGCGGGCGGGCTTCATTACAGTCAACTAATGACAACACTGCACGTGGTTGTTTGCGCGCGGGCGGGCTTCATTACAGTCAACAAATGCAAACACTATACCTATTGGGAATGCGGTATTAGTTTCTGTTCCTTGCCCCTATGGCTTGGTATCTTTAGGTGACAGACAGTTTAAAGTGCTCAGTGTTTTAGCTATGCTGTATCCCCCAAACCACCAAAGGCTCGCTGCTTGGTTTGCCGGGTGGACAGTCCAATCCCTCATTCCAGAGTGCAACAGCTTGATCGAAGGGGGCAAATATCGGATCCGGCTGCTGCCTCCCGGTTTAGCTCACACCCTTATTCCTGTCGCGCTGGCGTCAGACACTGGTAAGGGGAAGCCGAGCGTGTAGGCATTGCTCAGTGCGCGCGCCACTGGGGTTTTACGACGCTCTTAGTGTCTAAAGCTATATGGCGTGCCCTGTGCCTCACCATGACAAAAATGGCGGGCGTCTGGTTCTGGTTCTTCTTCTGGCTCTGTCTGGTTCTGGTTCAGCTGCGTCTGGGAAACCAGACGCGCAGCTGAAGCACCGCACTTACGCCCCCCCCCCCCCCCTCCGGCTCAGCGCACGTCTCATTAATAGGAAACGCACAACTTGGTAACCAGACAAGTTACGAACACAATAATTGTGGTGGTGACCTTGCACTGCGGCACCGTGTGACGTCCAACTATTCCGTGTAAACAGCCCAGCGCTTTTCTCGCAAAAGCGCACAGTTGTTTCAATCTTCCTCTTTTTGTCCAGCGTATGCGCGGATGGTCTCGTTATTGCGACCTCTGCTGACTTTGTCCCTTGGGTTCCTCGTCTGGCATAGGCGTAGGAACGTTTCAAAAAGTGAGGGGGGGGCAAGCTCAGGGTGTAGTTCAGGAACTTTTTTCTGGAAAGCGAGCCCGATGACCGGGGGGGGGGGGGGGTAGGGATGGAGATTGCTATCGTTTTTTATTCAAATGTAATTGCCGCTATGCTGGCTATGCATCTAGAGCTGCTTATCACTGGTGCACAATCTTGCCTATTCGGCTCTTCCGTCATTTGGCAAATAAGGCTATTCAGCTTCCCTAGATTATTCGTTCATTTTAACATTGTCTTTCCTGGGGGACCAAATTCCACAAGTATTTATTCCTGGGGAGTACAAATTCCACGGGTAGGTATTTTGGGTCATTAAGGAAGCATTTGCCTTCACAGTGTAGATGCCAAAATACGGCATGGATATAGGCTGGTGAAAATTTTGAAAGTGGATCGATGGCTCACAGTGCGACAGATTTTTCATGCGTCCTCATTTCGCCGGCTGCTTTCAAGAAACAAGACTTGTCGCAGCATTTTAGGCGGAAACAAATTCGAGACCTAGAAACTGCTAGAAACAATGTGACAAAATCCATAAAATTGAAGATTCTCTTTTAAGAATCAAGCCACATAATAAGGCCCATCTGTCATATGTTCCTTATCTGGGCCCTGCTCCTGTCCGCCGTCGGTGATCATTGCCCTGGCCTGGATGTTTCCCGCATGACTGACTGCGAGTTAGGGCATCGGCAGCGTAGTGATTTACGTGTCTGCACTAATCACTGTGCGTCTGGGAAACCAGAGGTACGGGGTTCAATTCCCCGCGGTGCCCGCCCTTCCTGCCAGGGTGAGAGGCAGGCGACGACATATAGCCTCAGCAGCTGAGTGCGTCGTAAAAGCCCCAATGACACACACGACTGACGGCGAGTTGATCGTGTGGCTACTTGTTGCATTAGATCAGCGTTAGTTCTATATGGTGTATGAAACGTGTTGGATACCTGCAGCAATATTTTTCTCGCATTGTCTTCCTTTATACCACACCATCGCAGAAAAATAGCCTCCGGGAAACTGTCTGCCTTAGGAATGGATTGGCCAAACGGGCACTTCATTGCCCATCATGCAACGTATGCGATTTGATTTGATTTTGTGTGTAGGCAGGGGCGTAGCCAGAGCCTTGCCAAGGAGGAAACACTGAGTTGACAAAAGCCCATCTTATGGTGACCCCCCCCCCGCGCCAGAAAAATCCCCAGATGTGGCTAACTTATTAACAAGTGAGACCGTTTTCTTCGTTTCAGTGTTATTTTTACCTCGTAACCAGAACAGAAACTGGGAGCTACCGTGAGCTCAATTCTGTTTGCATCCTGAGGTCAAAAAGCTGCAGAAATCAGGCGTTGAACGACTGCATGGAGGAAATTACCGGCGTTCTTAATTTACATTGGTTAGCTGACTCTTTCTAAACCGATAGAGTTCAGAAGCTTGGTCAGTTTTTTACCTGGGTTCTACAGACCTTGAGGACATTGTGAAGGTAGGCTGTAGATCGATATGTTTGATCCAAATTTGAAGACGACAATCTGATTGCAAATCAAATGGTCAACAATGTGTATTAACATGGCTAAGCCATGCTTGTCGGAAAATGTTCGCCATTCATTTAGAATCGATTGGCGGCACAATTCATGTTACGTGTTTTTTAACATGCTCGCTCGTAAATCTCAGCAACAAAAACCTCGACACCAGGCGTTGCAGTCTCCATTGTCCGCGGAGCGTTAGCCCAGTAGCGAGCATTTAGCCGTGGCCCATCGGTGGACGAAAATGATGACACGTCGGGAATGATTACCTTTTAACACTTAAGTCAACTAGTTATACAAGTTATGTGGCGTAATTTTGAGCATGCGCACTCGAAAATTTTAGAAACACAAGACTCGACCTCAGGCGTCGCAGTCTCCGTAGGCCGCGCAGCGTCGGCTTAGCAGCTGATATTAAGTTGTGGCTAACGGGTGCACGAAACTGACAACGCTTCTGAGAAAGTACCCCGGGACGCTTCATTATATCAGATCTTGTATTTAGAAGGCAGTCTGAGGGCATATTTCACGCGTGCAATTTTTAGATTAATGAAAAAAACGGACTGGTCCCCAAAGCACCGCAAAGTGGGGCTGGAATCTGGTAGTTGAGCTGGAAAGGTGATGGTAAAATCTCCATTTTTCGTGTTTCCGCAGCTGTTTATCTGTCTAGAAGGCAGATTAACACGTCGCCCGCCATCTGGTGGCACTTGCAGTGGCCGAAACTTATCGGTTTTACGGAAGCTGCAACCCAGACTATTCTTGTCCTTGCTCTCGAGGTTGCGGGCGGGCATGCTGAAGCCTCTTGATACAGTTTGTTTCAATAATACATTCTGAGAAAAATAAACGTTCTCAGGCAAACATGGCATGACCTTGCTCGTTTTTTAGATTTATTTCGACCCGTGCCTTTCAACAATAATGAGAGCCCCACTCTACTCAACAAAAATGAGACCCCTCATTCCTTTCCGGGCAAAGGGCCTCTTGAGTAGAACACCAGGGGTGCATTACCGTTTCCGGTCAAGGGCTGAAGGGCCATTCCGTCCCATCGTGAAGTGTCTTCTGGCTATCATTCTGATGGCACGGGGTGGGATCTCCTGGTCGATCCGGAGGTCATTAAAAGGATATATCACATCACATTAATCCCATCCTTGACACGGGAGGCCTTCTGGTCCACGCAGTTAACCCCGGATCAGCTCAGGGACTCTCATTGACGCAACAACAACACTGATCACCGCAGACAGTCCGCTAGTTTTCACAGAAACTCCAGTTTCATGTTTTTTCTGTGTTCTTCAGGGAAATTGAGCTGTCAGAGCTGGTTACTGATAAGATAGCTACATAATATGGTGTTGAACATGCGTGCTCGCAAGTCATAGCAATAACAGCCTTGACGCCGGGCGTTGCAGTCTCCAGGCCGTGCGGCGTCGGCCCTGCGGTTATAATACTAAGTGATGGTCAATGAGCAAACGAAAATGATGACGCATCTTAAGGGAGATGGCTGGTGAGCTAGGTAAATCGGCATATGTTTAATGCAGTGCAAAAGTAAGCCAAATGCAATCTTAATCTGAGAAGTTGGGGGCCAGTTAACATTGCTGCCCCCCTCCCACCTTGAAAAGTGGGGGCCATGACCCCCTGCTCCGCCCCCCCCCCCTGTTTCTACGCCCATGTCGTCTGGGCTCCGTTCAGTCCCTCTCCGTCCCGTTCAAATCGGGGCCGCTCCACTAGGGCTGTTACACAATCCATTTTCGATGTGAAAAGGTCCATTTTACTGGCTCTAGCCCGCCGCTGTCCGTGAGCCGCACAAAAATGCCCCACTGAGCGGGCGTCGTCGCTGTGGGCCAAGTGGGACGCCTTGCGTCAGTCTGCCTGGTTGGGTCACGTGCAGCTACAATAATAATTTCCTGTCAAACCCAGACGTCCGGGAAATGGTCATTTAGCCCAAGGCTGCTATATAAGGTTACGCAGACGTAACGTCAGCATGGTACTAAATTTTGGTAGCCGGTAATATGGGTTTTGGTTGATGTTACGCAAAGTTTGGTAGATACTAGTAAGGTTATTACGAATGGAGATTCCGCCAATGAACTGGTTAGCGACCCTGTTCTACAGATTTATTTAAATATTACGTGAATAGTTATTGTACATTTCTGCATTTGAAACCTTCTAAAGACAACTCAGTACTACGATCTGCCTCCAAAAGTAGATCCTACTAAACCACGCTTTCCATGTCCACCACCCGCGCCATTTTTGTCGTAGTCACCGTGCCTGAACATTTGCGTTGCCCGCCCCGGTGGCTCAGTTGGTTAGAGCGCATCCCTTCCGATCCACCCGCCTGTGGCGGGGCGGGTTCGAGTCGCTTTAGGGCGCTCGCTATTTGCCCTCGACAGGTATGGCCTGCGGTCGGTGGCAGCGGTCGCGCTAAAAGTCAGTTGGCGTCAGAGGGCAGGACAGACCGTGCCGAGCATTGCGGCACGTTAGGCTTTCGCCACCAGATTCTGCCGTTGACATGGAATTGCGCGATTGGATGGCAGGGGTGAGGGCTCACACAACAAGCACTGTTTAGCGTGAGCTCTAATCACGGAAATCCATCCATTCAAAGGGTTCGGATCAAATCTAAAAAACTATGTAATGCCTCTTTGTGAAATGTATATTTGCTTGTAAATAAATGGATATTGTGTGTAATGTTCACGTTAAATTTAAAAAGGGCAATAACTGCCCATTTGCCATCGTAGTGCACTACCTATATGGAGTGAAATGTGAAAATAAGGTAATATGAGGAGGGCAGGTGCCAAAAAATTCGCTGTTGCTTTAATATAACCTTTCTAGTCGTTGGTTAACTTGCAGATCCATAATGTCGGATGGGTTAGACGAAAAGGGTACGCACTATCCTTACTGCCCATACTACCCTACTACCATTAGATCTCCCTAAGACTATTTCCCAGGTGAAATATGGCACATCACTCCTTGACCGGCGGACACTGCAAAACGTGCCAGAAATCGTCCCATTTTACGGGAAAATCGGCTATGTTGAACTGAAATGGCGCGCTCTGCATTAACGCCTCCCGCGGCTCATCCGTCACTACCCCCATTAGGGCAAGCCAGCCCTGCATCCATTCTCGCAACGTCCCTCCTAAGGCTACAGGATGTGCATTCCAATTTTTCAATGCGCGTCCCAGGGTGCTGCAAGCCCGTCTGGGCCGCCACTTCACATCTCCAGTCTACGTTGTTGTTGTTGCATGTGATGCTCTTTTACACAGATCGTTTCCAAGCACGTCCGGCTAGAGTTCTTCGGAATAAATCCCTGATAAACAGGTTACCCCATCTCTCCGTCGGATGTAGGTTGGAGCCGCATTTCAACAATGATCTTGTAGCTCTGGTGCAAACCAAGGCTATTTCTCAGCTGGAAATGCTTCACTGAATGTGCTAGGTTGAAAAATCTAGTTTATCGAAATATCTATATTCAAACCGGATCGGAAAAACAGCGTTTTCACGCCGCCGTAGCGTTGGTGCCATATTATTTAGCCGCCAGCATCGCTACCCAAAATGCAGTAATGGGGGGGGGGGGGGCTTGGCCCAGCCCATGCTAGCTGTTTTTCCGGAAGCTCAGACAATACTTACCACCTATAATTTTTTATACTGCCTTTTGAAAGTTCTTCTCAGCGCCCAACCAGCCGACCATTGCACGGGACAGTACAAAATAGCGGGATCGCAAGGCGAACCCGCTGAGTCCGCTTCGTGAATGGTTAGCCTAATAGCCCCGCTCAACATACGATGTTGAATTCGTTTCTCATTGGTTAATAATGGCGTAATATTACGTCACTTTCATACCACGTATTCATGACCGTCTCCGTATGAAGGCAGTATATAAGGCGAGCCGTTTGTTACCGTGTGTTCTAATTCGATTTGATGACTCAAGACTGCTGTTGGTTGCACGTGCGGACACTGTGGTGTGAAGTGAATGTTGGAGAAATTGAAATACTAGTAGATAGAAGCTCTAGATATACAAGATTTAACTTTGACTCGCGAAAACGACTGGCACGAGCAAGGTCGTCACGAGCAGAACTATTACACAAGCACTGCTACACCGCCCCGTCCTTCCCACCCCGTCCCACCTGGGCATCGTCTCGCCCCGCCCATTGGCCGTGTAGACCCGCCTTATACCGTTCCGTCCGTTCCGTCCCGCCCCTTTCAGTTCCCATCTGGGCCCGTCTTGCTCTGCCCAGTTCCCACCTGGCCTCGTCCCGTCCGTCTCCGTCCGTCCTGTCCCGCCCCGCGCCCAGCTGGGCCCTGACCCGCCCGCGCCGCCCATATCTCGTCCGGGGGCCGTCTCACACCGTTCCCGTCTGGGCCGTTGCTGTTCCGCGCGCCGTCTCACCGCTAGGCGCTTCGGCAGGTTCGACCAGTGTTTCGGCGTGCTGGGCGTGCTGGACCGCCTGCACGGCACGAATGACAAGTTCCGTCAGCAGCCGAACTACCAGTGGCACGTGATGCAGCTGAGCCTGGTGCCGCTGCGCCAGATGTACCCGGAGCCTGAGAGGAAGGGAGCCAAGAAGCAGTGAGCGACCCAGTTGGTGCATGAATAGCTGTAAAGCCAGTGACAAGAGGGATGTTTGAATGTCATGAGGAAACTTCAATTGCACTTAGCCTTACGTTTGATGTTCACGTAAGAAGGGCTTTCAAAGGCACGGCGTCGGCTTCAGTGGTTGGGTCAGGGCATGTGATTGGTGTCGCATCAATAGTCGCATTTGGACGGTGGATTCATTAGGTGAAAGGCACTGTTCCTCACTCGTGCGAGATTTTAAGCTGAAATATACATTTTTAAGAGAATTTAGTTTAGTTCACAGCCCTGTCCTTTTTAAGACCTAAATGACTCGAGTTTCTGAGCTATCGCCCGCGAGGATGCGTAGATCATCTTGTGCAGACAATTTCAAGGTCTTTCAGATGTGCATCATGACGCCATAGCAACGCCATGCACATCCTGCCACCCCACGGGCCAGGCAGCGTTTAAGGCCGGGACGAATATTATCGCCCAGCCATTCAGATCTGGAGTCAGTGAACACAATTTTCCAAATACAGTGGACGTCCATTGGCTCTCAAACAATATTCATTAAGCTGCACAGGTTTTGATCACGAAACAGGTTTTGTGCTACATAATATAGGAAGTCGGACAGGGATGAGCCAGTTGACGGCAGTTATATCTAGAAATCCCGCTCAGCAACGCCAGATGTGAACGACTCGACTCTTTTTTGCCTTGATCGCCGCATGAATAATGAAATGGCAGGATTTTAATGACGTTATTATAACGTCATGGTTATCTGGTTGGCCTTGAGATGGTCTCCCCGAAAAAATCTGTACAATTTTCGCCAGCGTGTAGCTGTATCTCAGAGTGGCTTGGGTCTTAAAAAGAGCAGGGATGTAAACTGCACCGAATGATCGTCAAGATGGCTATTTTGGTTCAAACCCCATACAAATGTGGAACACTCCCTTTAAGGATAACGTCATAATGGAGTATGTGAATACAAGTAAACAGCTTAAACCCACGGGTAAATATGCAAGGACACCCCGGGAAAGGATTAAAGCACAAGCGCACGATATTTTGCTCAGCGAATACTTTCAGCCCGTGCTTCCATCTCTCGACCAGGTAAAATTATTATAAGTCAGTGACAGTTTCGCACCGTTTATTTGTCAGCACCTCAACATCATACAAATGTTCCATGACGCATGTTATGGTGTGTTAAGGAACCTCTGTACTAAGTAGAGAAATTGTGTTGTCTAGAGCAGCCCTTTCCACTAGACAGTGCACCAACAGTTATGTGAGTTCATTTTGTCATATATGGTGCTTGCTTCAGTATCTTCAAATGTGTGATATTCCATTTTCAGGCAGCACGCCCCCTTTTTGCGTCCAAGTATGCGCTAGTAGCAGGGCGTAGCGTCTCCTAAGGAATAGGGGGAGGGGGGGGGGGTGCTGAAAAGTGAAAGGTGGTCCAATTTACTTCCAAAATATGCCAACGAACGGTTTCCAAGCCAGAATTGGCCTACATTCTTTAGGGGGCTTGTGCTCAGTTGGGGGGGGGGGGGGTTGAAACCCGAGTTGAGGGGATTCAGCGCCCCCCCCCCTTCCTTCACATCAGACGCGTCCAATATGCTCGGCGCTACCTATTTTCTCGAATTGCTTCTGAATAGCTCAGATTTTTTGTTGAAATAGCTGTCCTGGTGGGAAAATCTCGTTGGACTCCCTGCTCGCCGCTATAAAAGTCCTACTTTTGATGTGCCCTGACTGTTCCAACGTGTGTGTTTTGTATTGATGCAATACACTAACTCGTAAAAATTCCTGTGTACTAAATGGTAGAAAAGCTCGAAACACTATGCCTGCGGAAAAGGTATTCAAACATCAGGCTATTATCACGGAAATTTAAAGAAACATTAGGCCATGGCTTTGAATTCCCTCCTATAACGCAAAGTCCTGTGACTCTTTTCGAATCGCTCTTTGGCTTTGGAAAGCAGAGTATCAAATCAGTTGGCGTGCCGACGTATCACGCCAGCTATCGCAGCTGGCGACAGCCCTTGGCAGATTCTGGCGTCGTCATGGCGACGCCAGCCATAGATATGCAGGACTAAATAGGACAGTTGGATGGGGTGGCCCGCTTGGTGGCACATGAAGCCGGCCGCCATTTCGGAGATGTCAAGAAGCATAGACACGTGCTGACGCGGACATTGGGTGCATTCGCAGCCATCCGGGTGACAAAGATTCTATGCCATCAAAGTCACTCATGATGTCATATCCCGTAGATTCTGCGCCGTTTGGTGATCGCAGCGACCCCGACGACAAGATTTTACGTGACGTCGCGTAGAATCTTTCCGGGACGTTCCGATTCTTTTTCCGCGCCTCGATCGGGGTGTGATAGAAAAGGCGGAACAGATTTGATAATATGATCTCTATTTGCATGCGCAGTACCCACCACAGGTGATGAAAGGTGTATTGTATGTTACTAAGAGCAAAATTTGCAGTTGCCATTTTTAGGGGCACTCATAGTACCTGTAAACAAAAACATTGTCATCGTGCGGTGTGTGCCCAGCGGACCGCTTACCAGGCAGCGGTCGCGGAGCTCGGCGGCAAGGCTTTCTCTATGCGGGTGCCTCATTGAACAGTGAAATACAAGAAATAGAAGCTTCACAGTCGTTGATGTTTGGCTTTATTTCGTTAGGTGCTTTCAAAATCGGTTCCAGTTTTGCCTTTTTCTTCCGCAATCTGCCACAGAGACCTCGCCCCATGCATTGCAATATGTGTATTCGCCGCTTGCCAAGAATGCTCTATTCTATGTGACATGACGCACATCCTTCGCCGGACGTGTTCGTAGCGCGACTCTACCTCCGTTTACATCTTTCTTACTGCCGTGACAATAATCGTGCATGCAAAGACACAATATTTTCGTTTTCGCATAAAGCACTAACACTAGCAAGGCAAATTATGCTAATAATTTTACCAAAGAAGCATCATAAATAGACGGCTACAGCCCTAATTCAAACCCGGAACAAACTTTGCACAGCGTGCACAGGTTGGGGTTTGTCTTCAATTACAAAACTACATTGGAATATGAAAAGTGGCACTAATGATAAAGAGCATCAATCTAAAGACGTTTTCGAGCAAAAATCAATCAATGTTGAGCGCGAGCCGACCTACCACAGAACCGTTTTTCCCACCTGCTGATAGCAGCGCCACCTTTATCGCAATATTTTCGAAACAAGCTATCCTTGTTCAATGCCTTCCGTAAAGACTGTAAACCATCATTGAGCCATGTTTTAGTGTAGACTATTGATTATGAATGGGAATCAACACAAAACTGCAACTGAAAGCTGTATTAAGCGCTCCTTAATTAGATTTTCAAAGGCAAAAACACGCATATTCATTCAAATTCAAGGTAGGTAACTCCTGGCGCCGGCTCAGCTGAGCCCGGCATTGGCAGACGGAAGACAGGTGTTGATGAGACGGACGAGGTGGTGGCGGTGGAGCAGGGCAGTCGGATCACTCCCAATCATTGACAGGCCAAGTGTTCAAGACAGATGTACAAGTTAGTTTCATCAACTAGATTCTGCCAGAAGCTGTCTCTTCAAAGATATATTCTAGCTTTTCACCAATTGGCCAAGCCCTGAGATTTGGTGTCCTCCCAAATAAAGGCCCTCCCAAATAAAACATTAAAATTGAACGAAACAAAAATGGAGCATACCGCACCGTAGCTGGACATTGCAACAAAAAAGCACGTGACGTAAGGGTTTTGGACCTTCCGAAGCCATCAACGCCGTCCAAGCACGACTGACATCATTGGTAGCAGTGCCCATGGATATTTGTCATCACAATAGCTGTAACACCTCTGCGAAAGAGCAAGTAACAGCTCAACTTTTGCAATAAAAGTGCAATTGACTGACGTCAGTCATAATGATTACTGGATTGTTCATCGCCAAATGCTACTGACCAGGAAAATGATCCCGCATTGACTTCTTCATGCTCGTCGCGACTTTCGTGCAAGCAAATGCAGACGAAACTTATTTATCTGACATGAATAACACTGTTGATGATTGTAGGGTAACTGTGCATCATACGGTATTGTTCCGTCGCCATGCGAGTATACGCTTTACTGCTGGTTTGTAAGTTTGTTTACCGATGCTGACCCCGCTGACCTGACCATTAACACGTGCTCGGGTGGGGGGTCAAATTGACCCCCGAAGGTTTTCCAGAATGGTTTCCGAACGGCACGGCGTAGCCGCGCCAAATTTTGCATAGCTGTAGACAATTGAATAGCGGATTGTTTGACTTTAAAAATATAGGCGTACCTTGTAAGGTCACTGACCTATGGCAGGTCAAATATAGGCCATGGTTTTAGCGAAGGCAATTTGTAGGGAATCGCCCAATCGGATACAACAACGAAGTGTTTGACGACGCCATCCATCTCTGAAATCATTTCTTAGGCACCATAAATATTGAATGAGCAAATTACGTTGACCTAGGGTCAGGTATAAAGGTCAGACCAAGGCCACAACCAACTTGATTTTTACTCTAGGGCTTGCTTTATGAGATAGTTTGTGGTGCTCAACTCGAATAAATTGACAACAAGAACCACATCATACATCTTCCATTGACTTCTTAGAGGTCAGAAAAGGTTATTGACTTAAGATGACCAGGGTCGACGTTTTGTTTTAGGAACATATTGCCTAGCGTAATCTTTGTCGCTTATTCAAATGCAATACTTAGAGCAGTCTTGTATGATCTTGGTCACCATGACATTCAAAAGGTCAAACAAGGTCACTGACCTCACATAAACTTTTGATCTTTTGTTTAGAAACAGTTGCTTAAGTTCTGGGGGCTCTTTGGAAACCAACCTGGAATTTGACCTTGTTTAACCTTATTTAAACTGAAGGTCATGATCTAGGAAGCTCAAACTTTGACCAAAGTGAGTTCACGTACATGTCAAGACACCCTGTAAATTTAGTGTTTCTAGCTTTCCTAGTTCCCGACATCTCAGAGGGTCAAATTGACCCCTCCCCCCACTCGAGCGAAGGATATCCAGCCGGTCACCCGGGAGCGTGTTAAAAGGCCCGAACACATTTTTAGACCAGGCTGCAATACATATTCTGAATCTGGCCGTTAAGCATGCAACTATTCCCTGCCATGGGTCAGCGTACCACGCCACGACCTCCCCCGCTCGGGCGTTGCCGACTCCGCTGTTGGATAGAAGTGGACCAGGTGTTGCGACCCTTCACTGGCCACAGGAGCACCGGGTGGTGCGACACTTCATTGGCCACAGAAGCCGGGCCGACAGGACGGCCTTCCCGCCTTCTCCCTTTCCGTCACCGCAGCAAAAGTTGTAATGACGTCGCCCCGTGATTGGAAGGATTAGTTCGGATGCAGATTAAAGCAAGTGCCCACAGTGATTGCGCGAACGGGCGCAAGTGTCACGAGCCTGAAGCAGCCTCTGTACAGTCGCGTGCAAGAGGGGCCTAGACCCCAGCCATGTACCTCTGCCTGGGACCTCTGGTCCTTGAAACGTTAAACACAGAAACGCTTAAGAACGTCTCAAAACGCAACAAACCTGGCTCAACACTCACGGTGCCTATGCTGACAGTTAGGACTGACTTCTGTGGCCAGTAGACAGATATGCTGGCACTGTCAGTCCCCGCGCAGGTTCGGACCGAGTGTGGTCAGCCTAGCAGACAGGTACAGGCCATGAGCACGCCAGAATGTAGGCAGTTTTGGACCGAGGGTCACCGGCTTAGCGGACAGGTGCGGACCGAGCACGGCGTAATGAGGACGGATGCATGAGGACGTGTGAATGAGGCGTAAGGAGACAGGTACAGAACGAGAGCGGACCGAGGACGGCGGTTGTGCATACTGGCGCGGACCGAACGCTGCGTTATGCGGACATTATGCACGCCCTTAACACGGCAGCTTCGTGGACAAGTATGGAACGAGCACAAGCACGGCGGTCTGTACTGCAGCAAACAACAATATCACCAAGCTGCAGCCACGCTGCTTAGCTGCAGGAGACAACAGACTCGCCACGCTCGCCACTCACTCGCACCAACGGCGGCGGCACGGCCTCGGGTCTCGACGCCGTGTAATATCAAAGTCACGTGGCTCGGTTGGTTAGAGCGCCCGCCTTTCGACCCACCCACTCTTGGCAGGGTGAGCTCGAGTTGCTTTATTTAGGCGCTCGCTATTTGCCCTTGGCACGTATGGCCTGGGGCCGGCTAAAGACAGACGGCTATTGACAGCAACCGCGCTAAAGATCAGGTGGTGTCAGAGGGCAGGACAGACCGTGCCGAGCATTGTGACGTTAAACTTTCACCACCAAATTCAGCCGTTGACCTGGAATGGCACGATCGGTTGGTAGGAGTCAGGGCTCACACAACAGGTACTGCTTAGCGTTAAGTTTGCAACGATTGAATTTGAATGGCTTTGTATAGCAAATGATCATGCTTGCGATTTGGTTCTATCTAATCGGTCCGCGGATATGCGCACCCACCAGTAATAAGCTGCTTGCTACCTTTCTAGTAAGAAGGTAGCCCGATGGTCCGACCACCTGTCTTCATCCGATGGTCCCGCTACCTATCTTTACCCGATGGTCCAGCTACCTGTCTTTACCAGATGGTCCGGCTATCCAGATGGTCCTCCTATCTTCACCCGATGGTTCGGCTACCTATCTTCAGCAGTTCATGCGTGGACGCACTGATTGACGCACTGATTGCATGTTAAGGGGAGTGCTCCAGCCGTGAAGAGTAGTGGCAAGTACGACGCATGGGGCTGTCCTCCTAGACACCATTTGGTGATTGGCGGCGCCACGATCATAGTTATCCAGTCTGACTCCATGCCAGTGCCGATGTTTAGATAGGTTTGGTAGCACCATGTTGCCATAGATGTCGGTAGCACCCGGACACTGACCAACAAACCAGTCGATTGGAAGGATTTCAGAGGTGTTGCCATCAAGCCTTTGTTGAGTATATATATATATATATATATATATATATATATATATATATATATATATATATCTATATCTATATCTATATATATATATATATATACATATATCAGCCACGTTTTATTTTCATTACTAAGTGATAGCTAAGCTTACTCCCGTTAGTAGTTATGATCACATAAGTCATAGATATGCATTCAGTAATTTTGCTGGGATTGTCATACCTAACGCGCTCATTGGTCCAGTGCGAAAAATGATCCACTTGAGCGCTGCTGGATGCATGGATACAGTGCGTATTTATGCAATGAAACATGTTTCCATGCACTCAAAGCACTGGAAATGTCACAAGTATCAACACCCAGCGTTGTATGTTAAGATAAAAGGCTTAATTCTACAGCCTGGCTCACAGCTCACAAGCTGCAGCTTCACGATGCTGATCAAGCGCATGTTGATTTTGCAAGCCTACGCCCCTATGAATGCCGGCAATTATGCACCTTATCCTCACAATCGCCGTGGTTTGCGTCGTTTTGAAGTGGAAGACGATGGCAGTGTCGTCATGATAAGTGTACGTGCGATTACTGGTCAGGCAGCTGGTCGTTACGCTACTTTGGCAGCCAGTCAGTTCACACTAGTAGGCGTCCAGTGCGTAGGCTACCGCTGCGACTGCACACGCAATAGCCGGCTGCTGCTCTAGCCCACTGGCAATGCACTGGAGCAGCAGATCAATCCTTGACTGCACTGGTCGGGCAGTGCTGCATTGCGGTAGCCGATCTATATATTGGCGTAGCTGCGGGCCGTTTGTCGCACAGTGGCAGGCGCTGGTATGCTGACACGGACACATTGTTCCTGGTGGCATGCGAATGTTGACCGCCTGCGCCGGCTCGCCGATCGCCGACGGGACTCACCTTGGCTGAGGGGCACATATCGACGCCTCTTCACTCGTTTTGCCCTCGGTGATGCGACGCACAGCAGGCTGTGGGACTCACGACAAAGGAAGGTCTCTGCAAATGGTTATTAGATGACCATTCGGCCAGAGTGTGCTTGTCACTCTCTTCGAATTTGACAAGGACATGTCTTTTCGGTAATCGTACACCCTAAACACGACTCTGCCAGCTTTAAAGCCGTCCATATGGTATGCCTCTAATGAGCTAAGAATAGCTGAGAATGCACGTTTATATGTACCTTGTTCTAGTGAACACAGTTTTCGGAATATAGTGGGAGTATAATGTTCGGTAAAAATGTGCCGAAAAGCCAAGTAACTATACTTATGGAATCAAAAGCAATGCAACATTCAAGGTAAGACATGCACATGTAATGACCTAATTTGTCTTTTGACTTCACACAACAAAAACGCATGGCAGCTTTATTTTACCCGGCGGGCTGAGCCGATCACAACTGGCGATAGCTGTAAACGTGACCTTGAAGCTAGCCGGGATTTCCGTCAGTGTCTAAATGGAAATTCCCTTTCCTTTCTGGTGCCTTTATTTCTCGCAGAATTACTTCGAAAGTACGGGCAATTGCGCTTGCATGCGATTGAACTGTAGTGTGTTTCCCATGGGGCTGATAACGATAGAAGATACTCGTTGTCTTTAAAGTGTTCGGGCGGTTTTGGATTTTGTTATTCCTTTTCCAATCCTTGATCGGCGTTGTGACTTTTACTCGTTGTCGCGTAAATAGAAATTATACCAGAAATAAAAGTGGAATGGCAGGATTATCAATCAATTTGTCACGTCCACCAATCTTAGGATTATCATCTTATCATTATCATGGATCGTCTTATCTACCTATCAACAATCTAGAAACATTCATCAATTATAAAACAAAACACACCATCAAGGCATTAATCGTCGAATGGTTAGAACGTTCGGCTCGCACGTAGCGAACCTGGGTTCAGCCACGGTTACCCCACGTTCCTGAGCGGTAATATGCGCTCCACAGCCGCTGGCACTCAATACAAGGGTGTGCGATGACGTGCGGAACATTCTCCTGCTATAAAAAGCTGCACGATTATTCGTACAAAGATAGTGTGCGCGCATATGGATGACACGTAGATTACCAGTGAAGCACACAGATCTGTGTTTCTTCTTGTTTCGCATCGCAAAGTGTTTCATAAGCTACGGCCACAATGCATCCCTTCACTAACCTACAATATGATTGAGCAAAAGCGAAGCATTTCTTGTACGTCAGGGGGGATTGCAGACTTATATGTGCTGTCAGGCCTTTGAGAATACTTCCCACTATGTTGCATGGGCCTTACCCATTATAGGTTGTTGAAGCGACAGGCACACTGAAGGTCCGAATCCTGAGGTGAGGACACATGTTGAGAAAGCTATACTTGTGTTTCTATTGGGCCACACAGCCAACGGTAAAATAATGAATGAGTTTTAATCTTTGTTGGGAACTTATGAGCATGAGCAGCACTTGTTCCGGGTGCCTGTATTCTGTTGTTATTGAATGGGTAAAGCCATCACGGATGGTACAGATACGTTTGCTAACGGGATCATCGTCCCTTTGACGTATGCCATGAATGCATGTGGACCGTTCGTAATGTCCACGGCTCATAATGCTCACAGTTTACAACGTCTACAGCTCTCAATGCCGACAGTTAATGATACCCACAGTTCATGATGTTCACAATTGATTATAATTACAGTTCATAGTGCCCAAAGTTCACAATAGCCACAGTTCACAATGTCCACAGTTCACGATGTCCACAGTTCATAGCGTCCACAGCTCAAAATGTCCAGAAAATATTCCGCCTGCATCCTCTATAGTGAGAAGCCTCGCTCTTATGGGAGAACAGCGTCGGTCAGCGTCGTGACGTCATTTTCTTCGGTTTGGTACAGTCCAGCACGAGTGTGGAGTAGATCTTTCGCGGCCTCCCGAAGCCAGTGACTCTGAATAAACCAGACTGGAAAGAGGCCGGCTCTGAATAAGAGGCCTGGAACAAAACCGGCAAAAATTTCCTCTTTTCTGCATCTGACAAATGAAAACAAGCCCTACAGACGTAAGCTCGACCTTGCATGAAACTTACGGCTGTGTCCGCGGCAGTGCCGAGGCAGTCACGTGGCAGGCTTTAACTGGTGTGCAAAAATGGCATGGTGCTGTGAACTCAGGCAGAACATGCGTCAGCGTGTAACTGGTCAACCATCAGGGGAGGTTTGGGCCACAGTAGCCAAGCTATTTGTACAGCGTAACTTAGAAAGGCATAACCATGGAAACAGAGATGTGCAGCCTGCTGATACAGTAAGATCGGCTGTAGTTAGAACAGTGTGGAATATATGTGAGAAAATAACACATACTTGATTTTCCCAGTGATTGAAAGGGGTGGCAGTATTCATTCGGTCCTCCTGTCCCTCTATCGATACCCGATTGGCTGTTCTTATGCTTCACGCATACAGTTCCTTAACCGAGTCTTACTTGTGCACATACTCTGGAGTTGCGTTGACAGCAATGGTTTTGACAATGTAACCAATGAAAGCAACAGGTACCATCTATCCCTTCCCCACCCCAGATCATGGGGTGGCCTTGGATAAAACCGCAGAAATATATCGGCCATCCGGGTATATCTTTGACACCGATACTTATGCGGGTATATCTCCGACACCGCGACTTATCCGGGCATATTATCTCCGACACCAAGATCTATTCTGCACGTGAAACACAAACGATGGCTGCACGGGTGTTCTGGCGGAGCTTCCGACCCGGACGACTGTGGGGCGAAGTCTTAGGTGGCGGCCGCGGCTTGCTCCCGGTGGGACGATAGGCTTCGGGGATGAAGGATCAAGCCGGTAGAGGAGGGCTCGCACGAAAAGCTTGCAAGGCAGATGACAAAATAGCGATCTGTCATGCCTTTTATGCCAGGTAGCGTCTGCGCCCGCTGCGCTGGGTACCGACGTTGCCCAGTAGTGCCGTGCGATGTAGTGAGCGACAGAGCAGGTATTGATCCCTGGTGTTCACTGGCCGCGCCTACTGCAGTTACGTCAGGTTCGTGATAACCGAACGTACCTCGCCTGGCGACCAGCCACACATTGGTGCCAATGCAAGGCCTTACAGGCTGACTGGTCATGGCCATAGCTACGTTTGCACAGGCGATCAATAGGCACAGAAAGAAGCCGGGCGCCTTCGGCTCTGCCCAGGCCCAGGTGTTGTCCTCACACCTGGCGACGGAGGTGCGCGGACAGCATCTGGTCACGCCTCTTACCGACACACGGCCCGACCATGCTGAGCCAAGCCACGGCGCCCATGGTGTTGACCCTGGCGGCGGCAGTCTCCGGTGAGTCTGCCTCGCAGAGGCGTGCATGGCCGCCAGTGCGTCTTCACGCGTCTTGTATGCGTCAGAGTAAGCGCTTCCGAAAAAACGATGCCGACAGACGGTGTCTTGTGTTGAACCTTGGACGGATGTTGAACACTCGCCACTTTCTGTGGCCGCCTGCTACAAATGCTTCATTGAAGGCGGCAAGACTTGTCCCTGATATCATTTTCCAAATCGATTTGCCAATTTAAGATTGCTCTCTGCTATCAAAATGTTAATTACAATTGACCTTGATTCAGCACACCTCAGCAGTGATCCCGGACTGGCGCCCGACCAACCATTGGGTGGTTCGAATTCATTCATCCATCCATCCGTGCCCAAATATTGTGGGGCCGATTGAAATCAAAACATCGAAGAAAACCAAAACCTGGCAGTTCAAGTGTCAAGTGTTAGAGAGAGAGAGAGAGAGAGAGAGAGAGAGAGAGAGAGAGAGAGAGAGAGAGAGAGAGAGAGAGAGAGAGAGAGAGAGAGAGAGAGAGAGAGAGAGAGAGAGAGAGAGAGAGAGAGAGAGAGAGAGAGAGAGAGAGAGAGAGAGAGAGAGAGAGAGAGAGGGAGAGGGAGAGAGAAATATTAATATGTTCTTAAATTCATGCACGCTATCTTTTTAACAGGTTTCATTAAAGACCAAGGAATTCTAGACGTTCGAAAGCTTTTATTAATTCGCTGGATGTTTCTAACCAACTTTGTTGTGTTGGTTTAAGTTTCAAGACCACACCAACAAGCTCACTCATCTAAAAAGCCGTATTTTTCTGAATATTCATTAAAACGCAACGTTTAGGTTTATCCTCAAACCATTATCGCAAAGACATGATGTATCGTAAACGATAAAAAACTTAACACATATTCTATGGATCGAATAGAAAAAAACAACATATCTCGAGGAACAAATTTAGTACACCTCAGTTAAATTAGCTCAATTGAAGAGGTTTCAATGCCCTACAAATTGAGATGCCCACCCTATCTTTCCTCAACGCCTCACAGTAAACAGCGTTAGGTTGTTTGTTCAGTGCTGGGACATGTTGGCGAGTGAGAAGGGCCTCTAATTTCATCATTCATATTTTTGTGTTGTATGTTAATGATTAATGCGTTTTCAATGAGTAGTTTGCGTGTCAATGTTGTTTGACGGCACTTGTGCGTGTGCTGTTTGGGATCCCCGTCTCAAATATGCATAGGTAGTCGCCTGGAAAGAAAGGAAATGGTTGCAACACTGGTGCGGTTTATCTCACGAAGCCTCCAAGCTTCATATAGACATGATAATTGATAAACCACATTGGTGCACTTTGAAGTTTATTGCTGTAACGTTATTCTAGATCGGAAGGCTGATAGCTTTTATGTTATTGTGATAGATAGCACATCATAGGTGATAGCCCGTAATGGTGCATGCCACAATGTCTGGGGTGATTATTTGATTGACGCGTTTGTCCACTTGGTAAGATGATGCCATTTCATTGAAATGGGAAAGTGTAATAATGCTTTGACCGTTTTCCTGAAGCTGCTGTTTTTTCCTGTTCCGCAATATTTTTTTTATTTAATCATCGCTGTCTTCATTTGACTACCGGTTGTTGACCAAGACCCGTTTGAGCCAAGCAAACTCTGCACGTAGCGATGCCTCGCTGTTAAAGCTATTGAAAAACTGTTCGACTTCTTCAACTCTTGTTTAGTTTTGTTGCTGTTGTTGACTCAGGCAACCTCTCATACTGTTGGAAATGGCTAGTTGCAGCTTTCAGCATTGCATTATGGATGGATCGACTATCCCCGTCCCAAAATCCTGTCAGTTCCTGTGGAGGCAGTTGACCATTTATAGACCATTTATAGGCTACACTCCTGGACAGCCAACACGTCGCCGAACAAACGACGTAATTACGCAATGGAACCGACATCGGGGCATCTGCGGGTCAGTTTCTGGCTACGGCACTAGTAAAAAACGATGGAATTAGCTGAATGCATAAGGCGGATAGTCGTAGGATCAGATGGCATACGGAGTTTGGGGAGGAGACTCGGCTGGTGACGCGTGGGCGGTCCAGAGCAGGCTTGACAGATTTCAAATGGCTCATACCCTCCCAGTCCGCACAGAAACTTGCAGTTGCACCCTAATTGCAGCCACAAAAGATTTCCCGCTTCTCGCTGACGTTTTCGAAAGGATCATGTGCTGTATGCAAACGCGGATTGCAGACGTTACAGACTTAAACAACATCTGCCTATAAACTGAAAGGCATTATAAAGATGTTTAGCTGAAACTGATTGGCAGCAGATTGCCGACCGCGTGACGTGGGGCATAACATTGATGACTTCCGTCACTTGGCACGGTCCGAATCCCTAAATACCGAATTGAATGGCCCGACAGTTACATAATGGTGAGCTGGCGCCTGGCCAGAGGCGGTCATTCAGGCACCAGCCAGCAGTGTCGTAGCATCGTATGGCTCAGCAAAATTGCTCTACGGTCCATTCTGGCTCAAAGGGCGGGGACAAAGTTACCCGCGGAGGAGAAATTGCTCTATTGTACAAGTTGGCTTTTAAAGCCCAACTCATCGATGCAAACCATTTCAGTGAACTTAAAAAAAAGGTGACAATCAGGAGACGGCAAATTACACGGCATTAACAAACGAGACCTTGCTGGTGACACGAGTACCGTCTAGAGCAGCTCAGCTGGTGACCCGGGTATGGTTCAGGTAGCCACGACAGGGGACACGAGCACCGTCTAGAGGAGCTCAGCTAGCGACCCTGTGTAGTTCAAGTAGTCTCGGCTGGTGACACGCCGTGCTGTCCGTGTAGCCTCTGCTGGTGACACGCCGGGCCGTCTGTGTAGCCTCTGCTGGTGACACGCCGGGCCGTCTGTGTAGCCTCTGCTGGTGACACGCCGTGCTGTCCGTGTAGCCTCTGCTGGTGACACGCCGGGCCGTCTGTGTAGCCTCTGCTGGTGACACGCCAGGCCTGTGTTGCAGGCGCACTCGTCGGACCGCCGGCGCTGCACGGTTCGCTGATGCTGCCTGAGGCCGGCGGGCCGCCGTCCGCGGTCTCGCTGCGTGAACGGCAGCCGAGAGCCTTGGACGACATCTACGACCTGGAGTTCTTCGAGTGGATTCCCCCGGGGGAGACGGCGGCTGTGCAGACCGTCTCCATGCTCACCGAGACTCTGTCCCGAGTGGAGGGAGTTATGACTACCGCTACTCAGACCGCGGCCGCGGAGAGCATCACAGCATCCCAGACCCAGACCCAAACTCAGACTCAGACTCAGACGCAGACTCCGGCGCAAGCAGCGACCACATCCCAGCCTCCGAAAGACGGCGCTGCAGCTGTGGTTATGTGTTGGTCTTGCCTGTTTGTGTCCCTCATCACAGTGGCAGGCATTTGCCTTGTAGGTTGACGATAGCCAACAGCTTTTGGACACGGACGTGGCCGCTTCAAATGCAGGCAAGACAAGTGAACTGTTTACAATATTCATTTTTGATGTTTTGCGCGGGAGGCGAAGTTTAAATTTCCTGGTAAATTAAATTAATGAAATAAACGTCGGCCAACTTTGAAAGCTTTTAATCGGGCATGCATGTTGTCAAACAAGCCTCCAATGCTCACACTCCTGTTTCAAAGTTTGTCTTACTTTGAAAACCTATTTCTGATTGTCTTCTAAAACCTTCTCCCTTTCTCTGGCAGAAAGGAAGAGACTCGGACTATCAGGAATTCCAGTAGCACAGTGGTTAAGCCACGTTTCTGGAAACTAAAGGCACGGGGTCCGTTCTCTGCGGCGCCGGCCTGCCCTGCGAGGGTGACCTCATACCATTAGCTGTTGAGTGCGTTGTAAAGCCCCAGTGATACACCCAGTCTATCAACGACTCCAGGTAGGGCGGACTGTGGGAAGGCACACTCCCTTTAATCACAACAGGCGAGGTCAAGTGGAATATCCCCGCTACCGAAAGGACATTCCTTCATACCGCATCGGTGCCGCAGTTAGCTAGTGCGCGTGTTAATATAGGCGATAGGCGCTTGGTTTAAGCCTGTCTTTGGCAGGCTTTTCCAACTTTCCGACGACTAAACATAAAAAATGTGTAGCAGGACGGGATTGAGGCGCCGACAGACGCGCTCTTCTCCGCCTTTATACTTCCTGATGCGCCTAATCTAGGACTGCAATACCTGTTCTTTGTTATATTTGTTATCGAGACCCCGGAGACCATCCAAACTGCTGCCCTCCGCATAGTGACTGGTGCATTTCGCATCTGTCCGGTGCCAAGCCTCGCAGGCACAAGTCTTCCCTCCCTATCACACCGGCGAAAAATGCAACTAACTCATCAGAACTTACGCACGCGTCACAGCCTACGTTGGTAGCCCCAAATACAACACCCTCACACACCTCCGCCTCAACGGCACACTTATCATCGTGGAACTTAGTACAAAACATTAGCACCCGCGATACTCGAGGCAACGAGCGCATAATCTCCAACACATTCCCTGCAGCCCAACTCCCAGTCCCCGGCCCATTAGGGATGATCCTTTACCGGACATAATCTTTCGACTTAAACGCACAAAAAAAAACGTTTCGGAACCCGAAGTGCATACCTTTACTGAGCTCAAAGAACGTGATCAGCATTGCTGAGCTCAAAGAACATGATCCGCATTGCTGAGCTCAAAGAAGATGATCAGCACACCTGTATACATACTAGTGGCTCCCGGCGCGACGGCTGACCAGGGTCTGCTTGGTGCACCATAACCGAAAGCCAAACCGCCTGCCAAGCCACAGCACTGTACATACGGCTGAGCAATCCTGGCCGCTCTGCTACACATATACCTATGTAACATACCAAAGGCAGTCAAATGCGCGGACTCTCATTCCTCGCTACAAGCTCTCAGCACTTTTCATAACTCATCTCAACCAATTATAAACAGTATATGTCAAATGCTCTGCTCTCCGCCACAAAAAACTCATGCACTTTTTCTCTGAATACATGGACACCTCAATATTCGTGGAAACAGCATCGCTGACAAAAAAGGAAGCAAAACGAAGTCGTGTGTTAGGGGAACGCAAAGATCTTTCTTGCCCAGTTGCCGATATTTTTGCGGTCATCAATTTTCATTTCCATTTCTTTCTCCGATCTGATTGGGAGCAACGCGCTCACCACGATCTCTACCCAATCACACCCATATCACAGCACTGGCCGACAATTAATCAAGATAGTCATCTCAAGGTGCCGCTTGCGGGACTTCGCATGGGTCCCTCCAAAACCGCCCAATGTTACCTTTTTGAGCGTGACTATCAATCACACCAACGCCCATCAGCTTCCATTTAATCTTTATCCTCTCCTCGGTGACTCGTCTCCCGAGTTGCCAGTTGTTCTGTTCAAATCTTTACACAGCATAGGATTAAATAACTTCATTTAAACAAATGTTTTCCTGCATAGCTTGGCAAAAATTGCAGGTTTTCTCCGTTGGCTAGGAGTTCTAGTTTTCCTAGTCAGGACTTTCCAGGACTAAGTAGCACCACACAACGCAACAAAGTCGCGCCGGGCAGCGGAGCCCGGCGTTCGCTCTCTCCGTTGCTGCGATGAAACGGCCCAGCACCCACCTATCGCGGTCGCCGACCAGTCAGCTGAGCCAAGGCTACCGCTGCCACGGACACCATACACAAGACTCGTCACACCCGAGGAGTCTCACTTGCGGAGTTGAGTCAGAGTTGAGGAGGCTCACTTGCCGTTCAAGCGTATTGAATGCATGTTGTGTCGAGGTGAAATAAATATGCATCTTGCCGTGGTTTTCCTTATTTGCTAGTACCTTTTTGGAACAAAATAGCCAGATCAATAAGCCTAAGTCTAAAATACCCCGTCCCTTGCCCCGCAGCTCATAGCATAAGCCGATTCAACATAATTATTGCCTGATCTTAAGCCGGAAGTAATTGGTCTCCCCTCGGAAATGACTTCAGGTCCGTCGAGGAAACAAAAGGCCTTGCACTGACCCACCAAATGCGAGCGGGTATGGTAAGAAATACGTTACGTTATTCTTCCACTACTCGGTATTGAACAAAGGTTGGTCACTCCAAGGCAACATGGGTAGGCCATGCCAATGCAGATTTCTGACACCGTCGATCTGCAATCATCGTTCACTATCATGTACGTTCACAATGTCTCAGTATAACCCAGAAAAATTCCGACAAAGCCCTGAGTGCGAATGGTTACTGAACTGATCCATTGTAACTTGAAATGCACCGGCAGTTTATTTTAAGCCGTCATTCACACAATTTGTTTATTCCGTTCTAATGACATATAAAACAAAATTGTATCTTTCCTTACCTTCTGGATTCTGCTACCGTTCATGGTATATACTTAAAAATACACGACGGAGAAAGTGTCCCTTGAAATCATGCAGGCCAAGTCCAACACTTTTTTGATGGGTGCCTTTTACCTAATGTTTGATGTATATATATATATATATATATATATATATATATATGAAAGATACATGCATATATCTTATATTGCAAGCGAAGCGTCTCGCGGAACAACGATTGCACCAGGCAAAAGAACATACACGTTTACTGTTCACCATTATAGTTTAAAACGCGCATATACAAATTGAGAATGCCACACATGCACATGCAATGACACACGACCAACTCCCAATTCCAGACATATTTCATGTTATCACAATTTATAAAGGATATGATAAATTGATGTCATTTAGCGCTGGATGTTTCTTAAAAATGCGCAAAGGTTGTAAGATTCTCAAATCATGGGAGGAATACGTCCTGTCACATGTAATGAATAATGGCATAATGCATATTGGTGTAATGGTGCCACATGCAAGTGAATGTTCTCGTATGGGGAGGGGTTAGGTTTTTCAATAATTTCCCCGTCCGGATAATTTACCCAAATGCCGCTGAAGGCGACTGTGCAAGTTCCGGAGGGTGAAACCTATATAGGATGCCACACACGAGGCACAACAAAACTCGTATACAGCAGTTGATTGGCAGTATTTAGGTAATCTGCCTTTATGTTTGAAGGAGGAACCTACTGAGAACAAATTCTCCGGAACGATCCTAGGATCTAAAAATGGATAGAATTTCGTTAGGAGTCTGATCACCTTGTGCACCTTAATCATCCTGATCACCTCATCACCTTCAGCCCTGAGCCACCCTGATCACCTCATCACCTTCAACCTTGAGCCTCACGTTTGAGAGTTTCAGAATCTGAGCAAAAGTACGGCAGAACAAAATTCCTTTTTGAGCTTCGGAACGTCAAAGACCCGGGATGGTGAAAGATACCTAGAATCGAGGAACCTACGAATAAATAAACAAATGATACTTAAGGGGGAAAATGTTGTTTCGGAAATGCCTGTTCAAATACCCGATTTCAGCATGGCAGAATGTATAAGTATGGCTGAGATGGAATGCTCTAAAGGTGGCTTTCTACACGGAAATAAGCTAGAATGATCCAGGAATAAAACTGAAAAACTGACGCTCAGCCTAGAAAAAGCAGGCTTTTGATACATCGAACCACGTTAACGACCACCTTCCTTGTGGATGAGGATGTCCAAAGAGGGAATTTTGCCGTCAGGTTCCCCTTCAATCGTACCTCTTTTTGTATGCTTACTTTTCAAGAAACTAAGGAATAAAATAGCGCGAAACCCATCCTTAACAAGAAAGAAAGCAATCGACAACACACTTACCATAAAAGAAAGGAGGGAACTGGATCAGACGGAAACTAAGCCAGAGTTTTTCACGACACGTACAAATATTAGCGAACGTTGAGACCACAAGCAGACCCACACCCACCCCTCTTTTGATCAATAAAACTTGCCACTGAAAATGAGAAACGCATTCGTCACAGCAAGGGCAGGGAAAGACTTGAAATATACCATGGTTACTCCCACCACCCAAATGGTTGTCGAAAACGAACCGCGACACAAATGTCGATGGTCTCTTGCAAAGGAGTGCTGGTGAATAAACTAGCTATGAATATATGACCATTTACCTCTACACTTGCCACTTCATTTGCAAACTCATAGCAATTTCCTATAGTGTACTCATTTTGTGGACACAGGAACCCGAAATTTAACTAGGTTACAAGTCGGAGTGCCCGAAGCGAAGACAACAGGCCGAAGAGCGGCTCGGGCCCTGCGGATCTTCGCCAAACCGTGCAGGACACCCGGCGCACTTCAAGACGCCGAGGTGTTTGTGTACGCCCCATCCGTTAGCATGCCTAACGATTCCAATTTGAACAAAAGCCGATTTATTTTATCTTTTACCTACTGAATAGCTTTTAACATGAGCCCGAAAGCTTCAATGAACTTTGAAACATCTGTTAATGTTTATCGGTGTTTTCGGGCGCGCCGACTGCAGTGATCATTTGGCGCACAAACGAGTTCTGTTTCACCTCACTAATGAACCGTGTAGAGTCCCGAATTTGATACGTTTAAAGGCCAACAAGACCTGTTGAGATTTAAGAAAGCGCGAGTTGTTTCCTAGCATGTCGCAGAGCGTCAGAGGCGAGTCATGCTGCCCAAAGTAACGTTGACGTTCTTCCACGCGGCGCGGACACGACACGCGCACATGAACGGTAGGGACAGCACCACATCGACAGCAGATAGGTCTATCGGCTCCTTGCAACAGATAGCCGTGAACTGCATGCGTGTGCTCAACACGTACTCTTCAGAGTACCACCCCTCCTTGCCTCACTCTGCGAGAACATAACCACCGAGCCGGCTTGGGTTTTACTGCTCTGGGCTTACTTTCAATTTCGTTGCCATTTTCTCCACGTATGAAGAACGATCCAGAAATAGGAACCTCTACCCTTGTGTGGTTGTGAGGTGAAAATGTTCTTGTCAGACGCAAATTGTCCGAGGGGGAAAGGCTACGACCCTAAAAGACGGGAGAGGAAGCTTTCGAAGGGTCAAAGGCATGACAATGTCTTAGGCAAATGCAGACAAGCCTACGTTTAACGTTGTTAATGTCCACGCCATCGCATAGAGGACGGTCGGACAAAGTACACAAGTTTTTCAAACGCGAGGTGGTACCGAAGGAAATCAAGCCTCGACACCAGAAGATGAAAGTCAAGTCCAAAAGCCAGAAGTGTTTTAATACTGTCAGGAATAAATTTAAACGACAGGTTATGAATGAAAAGATCAAGATCACAGGGTAGCAACGCATTGTAAATACCAAGACGATTAAGCTTCTGGCGATGAATTATCTTACACTTGCAGGTGAAAGTATTTAAGATGTCGTTAACAAAAGACCTGACCATATGAAACTAAAAAAACCATAGGTGCCCTTGTCGAATGCATTTATATCTCTCTCTCTCTCTCTGGCATGGACATCCATCCCCGCAAGACGTTTGGCGTTGCGGTGTGACTGTACGATCCGGCTGATCTTCTACGAGTCTATTTGACACACCATTCAAAACCAAACAAAAGACAAGCCACTTGATGAATTATAGTGAAACAATGAGAAAGAAAAGGGAACTCATTAACTGCACATGGTGGCGAAAGTCGCAATGCCCTCTTTACTGACATATTACGGCCCCCTATCCTAACACCGAGCTGTTTTGGTTCAGAATGTGTCATGCTAATAACTTATGAAAGTGACAACTCAGACCTTCGCATTGCTCAGAAGTTATGTTTTAACTCGGCGAGGGCCACCTTACCCTCCCCAGACGGTAGCCATTTACCGTCAAACCCCGGCAGCTGCGATAAGCACTGAACACTACACTGAGACTGAACACACGTTCCAGTCCGTAAACTCTGAACAATTTATACACAGCTTATGTATGCATGAATGTGTGCAGTTTATGCACAGTTTATGTATACATGAGTTGCGCGCAATTCCTGACGTGACAAGTACAACGTAAGATTTCATTCTACGACCAGACGACCGTGCCCTTTGTTCTTGACGCCTGTCACGTGAAATTATATAATTAAAGCTAAATGCATATATAACCAGTGATACGCATAAGACCAGGGAATCCGGGGATGTCGTGACACTGTTTCCCAAAATACTGAGACCCTATAGGAACGCAACGAAGGAATCTGCTTCCAAATTGGTGTTAGTACCCCAACTTTCTGAGACGCTTCTCCGCCTATGCTACCGGTCACCTATGTACGCGTATATTTTCGGAGTTTTGAGGAGTCACACTCCTCGGCATGATCGTAAAGCACAATGGAGTGGTCTGTACACTAATGCAATCACAGCCAATGGCATCACCGACTAAATCCGGAGGCTTCGAGCGACCTCACGCACAAGCTAACTCTGAGTGGCAGCCACATAAGCACACCTCTCTGTTCAGAATTAACACCCTGCCTCACGTAGAGGCCTGATGTACTCTGCCCACCCCGCACGAGCTGCCTCTCCCGCCATCCTCGTCACACCAGCTCAGCGCACATGCTGCCGGCACAGTCGGCGGCCAGCAGCCGTCCCTGCACCCCGCCCGCCCGGCCCTAGCCGGACGGGACGCGGTGCCAGACCGGCACCTCAGCGGCCTCAGCTGCCTCAGCCAGCCGCCGTCGCATCACGCGTCGTGACGTACGTGGCTGTGCACGCCTCGCTCCATGGTCGGGGAGAGCTCCCCTCTGGCAGAGAGGTTCTGGCGGTGCACAGCGCCGACGGGACCCTCGCGAGTAGTCAGGCGGTGTTCAGCTCGCCGCGCAGCCGGCGAAGCTCAGCACCCGCCGCGCTGGGACTGGGCGGCGCCTCCCTCCCCTGGACTCGCCCGTCAACCCCCACAACAGTACCCCGATTACCAGAAGGGCTCCGATTATGTTGGAGCTGAGACCGCCATTGCTCTCACGTCAAAAGCAAAGAAATAACAACCAGCTGGTTCTTCGCGGCGAGCACCCAGCACGCTTCTACTGGCCAGGGGCGGGGCGCGGATCCCAACCCCGCCCGGCGCCACCGCCTCAGCGGAGCGAGGCGGCCTCCTCCATATCGGCGACGCAGCGGCGCCAGGCCCGCAGCGCGCCGGCGCCTAGCCCGGCGTCCAGGCAGTTGACGAGGCCCTCCAGCCGGAGGCGCAGCTCTCGCCGCAGCTGACTGGGAGAGCCGCAGACGTCCGGCTCGCTCGGCCGGCCAGCACCGCCGTCGCTCGACCGCCAGAGCTCAGCCGACTGCGGGAAAAATTTGACCATCGTGTTGGGCGCCATGGCGTTCTTCTCCGGCGGCGGCTCGTGCCACTTTTTGGAGAACTCGACCAGCTTGGCGACGGCCCTGCAGAAGACGGAGGATGCCAGCGTCAGGACTTCAGCCGCATAACCTGAGCCCGCATCGCTGAGTCAAACAAGCAGCTACGCTGCATGAGTAACCTGACAATGGTGACTAGGCTGTTGACGTGTCCCAAATCACAAGCACAATACTCCCGACGGCTAGATCGGTTATCTCGGAGCGTCGGGCCGGTGGATCCCAATCCGGCAGATCCACCGGTCCGACGCTCCGAAATAACATGACAACAAACGACCACCAACTCCAGCTGGTTCGCACGAGAAGCGGGCACGGCGGCAGAGGCAGGCGACTTGACGCACTTGTCGACCCTGCGCTCCGGTCCCGTGAGGAACTCGGCGGCCACCGCCTCGTGGAACACCTGAGCAGGACAGCGCGAGGGCACGCGCACGCCCTGCCGGAACAGCGTCTGCCACTCCTCGATCAGACCCCGCTTCAGCCATTTCCTGCCGAGGGGAGAAGGGGGGTTAACGATGGGTGGCAACAGCTTCCTGTTCGGCGTGCGGTAACAGAATGCATCAATACGCATATCATCGGCGAATGTCGGTGTCGCGTACACCTCACGTCATCTCTGTACGCTCACGTCTGTCGCTCGAGACGTGATACCGTTCGCTATCGGTCTCAGCACCGAGCCTGCTGGATGGCACTAGATGGTCCAAAACCGTCAACCGCCACGCTCCGGTAGTGGACCTATGCGAGCTCAACTTCCGAGACTAACGACATACTTACTACCGGACACGCGACGGCGGTGGAATACACACTGCATGATCGACAACCAACATCGACGTCCCTGTCAGCGGACTCCATCGGCGACAGAGGCGGAGCCACGCGGCCGCACTCCCCAGCGTGCGCGGCCGCCGACACCGAGCGGCGAGCCTCACTCCTCGAGGTAGGCGCCGAAGCGTTTGGTGGACGGCCGGGCGCGAAGCTGGCGGCCGAGGCTGGCGGCGTTGCGGTAGACGAGCCGGCGGGCGGCCACCTGGTCGCGCGGCGGCGGCGGCTCGCCCTCCTGCTCCTCCTGGCCCGTCGCGGCGATCAGCTGCGAGACGGTGCGCCACACCTCCTGACGCTCGGCCGCGTCCTGACAACGATCAGGTCAGGTCAGCTGCGAGACAGCGGACGCCTGACACTCGGCTGTATCCGGTCAAATGGCGGAAGGGCGGGTGAGGTCAGCCTGAAGGAGGGGAGGGGGCACACCGCCATTCGGTCGCGTCCTAACACCGGGGTTGGGTCAGGTCAGTTCAGGTCCGAGGCGGCCAGCCGCAACTGCCGCTCACGCGCGTCCTGATGCCCCCCCCCCCCCCTTACATTAATCCTGGGACGAGTCGAAGCACAGCTTTGTCATCGGACAGGTCGGGGCTGGTCAGCTGGGAGAGACTGACCAAGGATAAACTACCCTCCTAGGCGGAACATCGCACAACGCGTTCAGGGGCATATCTAACGCACCGTCGACGAGCAGCCACGATCACGGAATCGATCCTGGCCTCCTAGACCCGGCAGCACACTAGCGTCGCCACCGCCTCCGGCAGCGAGCGCCGCCTCACCTCCACGTGCTTGATGAGAATAGTGCTGAGCGCGGCGCGCACGCGCGCCTGGTCCAGCAGCCGCAGCGGCCGCTGTCCGGTCGCCTCCACCCACATCTGGTGAAAGCTCGAGTGCTTCTCGGCCACGAAGTAACGCGGCACGGGCACGTCCTCGCCGCGCACGCGCAGCGACAGGTCACGCAGTCCGTGCACAAGGTCCAGCGCCAGCTCCTTGGCGCTGGCGCTGCTCAGCATCCACGCCACCGGCTGTGGCTGGTCGCCGTCGCCGTCGAATGCGCACACGGACGTGAGACGGTAAGGCCGGCCTGGCGGCCACAGGGCGCCGATGGTCAGCGGGCGGGGGAGGAGGTGGGCGCAGGGGGCGGTGGCACAGCCCGCCACGTCTGCTCGCACGCAATGTGCGAACGACAGACGACGACAAACTAGATGGCGCGTGTCGCGGATAATGGCAAAGGCGTACACCAACAGACCGCAGAGGCACGTGGTTTGATAAAAGGCAGCATTCAAAGACAGTCGACGTCGCACATAGATTAGCCCGTTCATAGGTAGTGGCAATGGTAGTTCCAAAGCTCAAGCCAGATCAGCCCCGGAGCGTATTCACGCCAAAAAGCGCGGCTCCAAACGCCATATTGCAACCTGGACGGCACTCCCCCACACAAGCAATTGCAATGCCAACGATTAGAAGTCATTTAAGCAGTCGTTACGCCACCAACAAGTCAGCAAAACGATTATGCACGCGGAGACTGACGAGGGCCGGGCCCTGGAGCGCACCTCGCGGCGCGTCCGTGGCGTCCATCATGAGCACGCCGGTGCCGTGCGCGTGCAGCAGCTCCACCTGGTTGGGGGTGCTGAAGGCGAACACAAAGTCCGACTCGTGCACGCCGTCCATCAGCTCGCCCGGCTCCTTATGGAACAGCACGTGCACCTGGCGCCACAAGACACGGGGCAAGCCGTCAGCTAGCGGCGTGGGAGCGGGCACTGAGGTGATGGAGGGCGTGTGCAGACGGAACACACGCGGCACCGCACAGGGCTGGTACGCTTACGACGGACCCAAAATGCAAAAAGTTTCCATGTGGATTGTGAATTGCTGTCTCTCTCGTTGCACTAGGATCAGCTCAGGTGTTCAACACCGGGGCGTCACTAAGCTGAGATGAAACCTCGCCAACTCCGGAGCTCGAGGCTTTGTGGCGAGCAGCAGCCGTCATGTGCAGCTCCACGACAAACAGTGGACACAGTTCTGACCAACAATCGCTGTTCTTCGCCACCTATTCACAATTATGTGATCTTCATTTCAAATGCTTTATTTTCGGGTGAATTTCCAACGATAACTATCACCTACTTTTCCATGCATTTTCCAGCAACGACTCATAACGTGTCAATCTTGAATGTCTTTATTTTGTCATTCATTTCAAATAGCTTTCGTCCCACACATGCCGTAAATGATTGTGTTTCCTACGTTTCACATGTGACGCAAAAGGTAAAATTAGTTCAATTTTCACTTTTTCTCAGAAGAAAACAGTTCGCAAACTGTTTCGCGGCATTTCGATACAAGCCATCTTTCACACGTTCATGCAAACCGCACGTACCAACTCTAGCCGCCGATGACTCGGTGGGGTGGGCTCCGGCCAACCTCCCGATCGACTTTCTAGCAAGCATTCAAAACTGTAGTAAGCGACCCCAAAGGATTCCACGTCACAAATGCGTCGCGCAAGTTCAACCCCGTTCAGCTCAGGCCCTGGCAACTTTTTTCGGGCACGTATACTGTGAAAGGTTACAGCTAAGACGTCACACAGCTAAGGCCCCCTACCAGAAGCTCACAATCCAAAGACCCCAGTGGCGAGAAGACTCCGCGTTTTAAACCCCACGCAACCCCTCCCGCCCGCTGCCGGTGGGGTAGCGCTGCATACCTCGCCGGCGGCGGTCATCTGGTCGGCCAGGTAGCGCAGGGCGGCAAATTCCTCGACGGCCGGCTCGCGGGCGACGCGGAACTGTTCGGTGGCGATGCCCAGTCGGCGGGCTACCTTGTAGACGTGCTCCCGCTGCAGCCGAAACATGGGGTTGCTGGGCACCGGCTCGGCCAGTACGCTTAGCCGAGCCTCGTGCAGAATACGGTCCAGAGTCCAGCCCGCCCGCAGCTTCTCTGCAGACAGCGGCGGGCACGCCAGTCAACAGGGGGGGGGGGGGGGGGGGGGGGCAGGGACCGGCGAGCCCGCGGCAGCCAGCGGCGTGTCAGGGAGAGATCAGAATAGGGACCCCCAACGCTAATCAAACGTGGGAGTCATTGCGCGGCGCCAGGCAACAGTTTGTTTACGTTTCTCCTTCCCTGAGAGCACACCACCCAACTAGAAGTCGCCATCACTTGAGCATAAAATAAGTCAATTCAAGTAGCGACGAGTCCGCCTGCCCACATGACGAGCCCAGCGCTGCGCCCAGTGATCACAAGTTGCGCCAAGTTGAACCTCTCTGGTCAGATCACAACCGCCCTTTCGATGTCATTAGGGTCAAACCATGTAACCGCTCTCGAACTCTTCTTACCCAGTGGCGCTGGATTTCGAGTCCTGCACATGGCCCCTACACCCAAGGAGCCAGGACTGGACTCACGTCACATTTAGCGCCGGCGGGCACCACTCACCCCCACGTCTACGTCTATGTTCACGCCTACGCCTACGTCTACGTCTACGTCCACGTCCACGTCAACGCCCACCCCGCACCACAGCCGCCGACACCCACCCTCGAGGAAGAGTCGGTTCGCCTCCGGCATGGGCTCCTTGAGACGGCCGGTGCCGGCCGGCTCGTGCAGAGTGTGCCCGTAGTGGGTGGTATTGACGGTCACGGCCACGGCACTGGCGGCGTCGGTGCGCGCTGCCCTGATGAACGAGGTGCACGAGACGCGCGTGGCCGCCCCCGCCGTGGCGCCGCCCGGCGGCCGGCCCAGGCGACCGTGGCGCGCGCGTCGCCGCCAGCCGGCGCGCCGCTGGTATACGGTCGGGCTTCCACCCGGGCACACCAGGTGGAGGCTGACCAGCTGACCGTCCGACAGCTGGCGCTGGTAGCGTCGGTACCGTGAGCCCGTCTCCGCTTCGAAATCGCGCCGCCACGCGCCGAACTCTGCCCCCGACGAGAACACGGTGTCAAGGTACTGCGACGGGGCGGGGCAGGGATGCGGATCCCGCCGTCGGGCGCGGGGGGACGCCGGTCACACTGCGGCGGGGCGGGGCAGGGATGCGGATCCCGCCGTCGGGCGCGGGGGGACGCCGGTCACACTGCGGCGGGGTACCCAGGGGGAGGGGGAGGGGGGGGGGCAGAGCTAGAGATGTCGGTTCGGCTCCAGAAAAGTGCGGTTCGGATGGCTTGCGGGCGTGGTGTCAGGGTGGCTGAACACATACACACACGCACGCACGCACGCACGCAAAAATATGTTGACCCAGTCGAAAATGAGATGACGTCGCGACAGCAATGAGAACGCAGGAAACGCGAGGCAATGCCCAAAAGCCACAAACGAGCAACGCTGCTAAAACTCCTCAATGTCTTTCATACCCTCCCAGTCTCGAAAGATGAGCTTGACAATATCCATCTTGATCTGATGTTTCTGTGTGAGGTGGTTACGCAGCGTCTTGCTGTGGGAGGCGGTGAAGTCGCACCCCTCCTCCCCGCATCTCAACCCGTCGCGAGTCTTCTGCGGACCGACACAAGCCACGGCGTCTACAGAGAGCAGTCCGCAGCACGACCGTTCCATCGTTGGGGGTATGACACAGCCACTGAGCTACTAACGCGAGCCGTCTACACAAATCAGTACGTTATGAACGTGAACTGAGAACATAGAACGTTTCATCTTCATCGCGGGAGAACAACACACTCTTCCCTGGAAGCGAACATGCCATTCACCAGTTATTTTCACCAGACAACACTTCCGAGTGACGCTGACAAGTGACCCCGTCTCCACCTCCGCCCCGCCTGCGCCTGCGCCTGCGGCTGCGCCCCCGCCGCGCTGCGGCTGCGGCTGTGGCTGCGGCTGCGGCTGCGGCTGCGGCTGCGGCTGTGGCTGCGGCTGCGGCTGCTCGAGAGCAGGAGCGGCTCGCCGCCCAGCCCACTCACCACTGTGGCGCTGTCCTGGTGGTAGATCCTCTGGTGGGTGCGCAGGCTGGCCTGGGTCTTGTAGCGCGAGCCACAGAGCTCGCACGGCACCGGCTGCCGGACCGGCACCACGGAGGTCACCACTCATACTGAGCGCCGTCCAAAACGCACTCGGACTGCTGGCGTGAGCGTGCAGGGGGCGCGGTGTAAATGCACGACCACGTCACGTTTGGCTTTGGAATTAAACAACGTGACGTGCAAACGGACAGATAGATGGTGATAAGCATAAAGCCAGGACTTTAAAAGGATGAGAGAAGAAAACTTAAAACAATAGGCGTACCGGAAGTTTCTACATTCCTTTTTCCTTGATGAGGAAAACTTTGTGAGTACAGAAGGCATCTTTTCAAAATCACCAACTAGCAAACACCCGAAACACACTTCTTTCCTGTTCGTTGCTGCATTATTATCATGCAAAGAGAAATCCCCGGCCAAAAGCGGCAACACCAAACTACTATGGAGAGCGCGATTCCACAGATTGGTACTGATTAACCTTCACAAAAAATGTGATGTAATAGATCCAACAACTTTCTTAACCTGGCTTACTATACTGAATTGGAACGACCGACAAGAAACCATTGATTTCGTTGCCTCCTCATTAACCTAGTCAAGTTCCCTTCCACGTAATGCAATACCATAATGCTCCTAATGAGTAACATACGGAAAGCAAAAGCGCACTTTATGCCAGCCTTTCAACTAGTTCACAATGGAGTTGTGGGCTTACCCTTCAATGCGATCTGCGTCGAGTAATCAATCACACACGAACAGCAAGCGAATATACCTACGGAATTTTTATTGAAATTTGTTGTTGTTTTATTTCGTTGAAAACTATGAAATAACTTGATGTGACCAAAAGCAGGACATGTATGTCCAGGCGCAAAGGCCAATGCACTCGACGTGCTCCCAAAACCAAATAACACGTATGTCTATTTCCCCACGCTCCATCCGGATCTAGTCACTGTCTATGTCCTCCAGCGGCGGGGAGCAGCAAACCTTGCTCATGTCCACCTGCCTCCTCTTGTACGGCCTTGAGCGCGCCGGCCCGGCAGCGGCCGCACCCGGGCTGGCCATGGCCCCGTGCGCCGGGCCGGCGTCGCCGTCTCTCGCGGCCGTCCGCTCCTCGCCCAGCATCACGATCTGACCGCCCTCTATCGCCGACCGGCTGAAGTGCTCGGCAGTCTCCACCAGCATCGGGTCCATGACGATATTGCCCTTGTCTGAAAGAGTGGCCTGTGTGTAACGGAGCTCGGTTTTACAACTGGGCCGACTGACACTCTGCTCTGTCGGAATAAGTTAAAAGGGGGGGGGGGGGGGCAGGGGAGAGACAGAATGGTCTCCGGTTGGGACATGACTGTGTTATCTTTATTCTGAAATCGGGCCCTGCCATGGACAACGCTCCATCTCAAATGGTGCGCTCTCAGTCAGAGCGGACTGATATGAAAATCAGTCTCAAATTGAGTTCCGTCTGAAGTCGATCTATCTCATATTTGCCCCAGTCCAAAACGGGGTCTGTCTCAGACGGCGCTGTCTGAGAAAGTGATTTTTAAAACAAGACCTCTAACAAAGTGGCTCTGCCTGGAAGGTCTGTTTGAGGCTCTGTTCATCTCTTTTTTTCTGAAAAGGATTCGCACCTGAAGTGCAGCACTGTCTGTCATGTAACCAGGATGAGCAATACTGTTCGGGGGCGGCGCCGCAAGGACCAAGTCACAGCCGACATCGAGGGTCAGCGATACCGCCTGTACTAACATGATCGGCAAAAAGGCAGTGCGGGCTGGCTAGTGCATACGCAGAAATTCTCGTAACACAAATACACTGTCTTAGCAATTAAGTCATAGAAAAGTTCCAAAAACTATCACGAAGAGCTAAAAACATGCCTTTGAACTGCAAAAAAGAGTTAAAAATGTGCCCTTGAAGTGCAACAGTTGTAAAATGCGCCCTTGAAGTGTAACAGTTGTAAAATGTGCCCTTGAAGTGTAACAGTTGTAAAATGTGCCCTTGAAGTGCAACAGTTGTAAAATGTGCCCTTGAAGTGTAACAGTTGTAAAATGTGCCCTCAAAGTGTAGGAGTTGCAAAATAAGCCCTTGAAGCATAACAGTTGTAAAATGTGCCCTTGAAGTGTAACAGTTGTAAAATGTGTCTTGAAGTGTAACAGTTGTAAAATGTGCCCTCGAAGTGTAACAGTTGTAAAATGTGCCCTCGAAGTGAAACAGTTGTAAAATGTGCCCTTGAAGTGCAACAGTTGTAAAATGTGCCCTCGAAGTGCAACAGTTGCAAAATGTGCCCTTGAATTGAAACAGTTGCAAAATGTGCCCTTGAAGTGTAACAGTCGTAAAATGTGCCCTTGAAGTGTAACAGTTGTAAAATATGCCCTTGAAGTGTAGGAGTTGCAAAATGTGCCCTTGAAGCATAACAGTTGTAAAATGTGCCCTTGAAGTGTAACAGTTGTAAAATGAGCCCTTGAAGTGTAACAGTTAGAATGTGCCTTGAAGTTAGTTAAAATGTGCCCTCGAAGTGTAACAGTTGCAAAATGTGCCCGTGAAGTGAAACAGTTGTAAAATGTGCCCTTGAAGTGTAACAGTTGTAAAATGTGCCCTTGATCCCGACATCTGACAGTCTAGGCAGCGTGTCAGTCACTGACCGCTGATGTCTTCCGCCTGGACCAGACAGACCGGCGCCAATGATCCATCCGGTTGCTGAACAAACTTCACAAAGGCCATCATTCTTAGGTCTTCAGTGCCACTATCCCTGGCTTCTTCTTCGACATATTCAGTGGCAGTCTGTTCAGGCTCGCTGCCCGCCAGCGTAACCTCTTCCTCATTAACTGCGATGGCATCATGAGCATCCATAACTTCAGAGAATTGGTCCTCAGTAACTATCGCATCGTCGGCACCCATTAACATTTCAGCTTCATTACATTTTCTTTCCATGATGCTTGTTAACTGCTGGAATCTGTAATGAAAATGATGGTCACATGAAATAGCAGAAGAGGTTACGTCGACTTAATCGTTACACAATGCCACACTACTGCAGAAGACAACACTGGGGGGAGAGCATTCCTCTGGACTACTCCGCTAAATAATGCAGTATGTGTCTATTTACTGTTGCATACAACACTTCCACACGCCACAGATTCGTATTGTCTGTCTGAAATATTTTATGCGCAGTAACAGAGTGCGGCAGACTAGCAAAAAACAAACTTCAGTTACAATCGATGGTTTGGATCGAACTGTGGGGTCTGTGCTGTGCTGTGATGGGGTGTTTCTAGCCATGCAACTCTAGGTTGCGTGGGTATGCGACAGGCCTTTCCCGTTGGAAGGCCCATGAATATGACCCAGTCCGGAGCACTGCTGGCTGAAAAAGCCAAGAGGGTTCGTCGACTCGCGGCACCCGGTGTGGGTACGAAAGCAGCCATAAAGGAGGGCACACATGATAATGTAACAACGGATCCTGATCAACGTTTCGATTATTCACCACAGTGATGACTGGTAGCCGGGCAATCTTTCCCTGGTCTCGGATTAGATCCTGCTACAGGAGGGCTTGAGTCAATGATGTCCTCTTAGAGATTATGGAATAGGCTATACCAGATGTTGCAGAAGTTCGATCACATCTCTCATGTTTGGTAAATCCGGACGCGAAAAAAAACTCGACGTGTTAAGCATTACCCCACACGGAGCTAAATCTTCTCTTAACTGCAGACCCAGCACAATCTACGACCAATTGGCTCGATCCAAAGTCAAGCTTTGCCCCTTACGTTTCCTCGTCGATCTTCAAGGAATGTATTTAAAACTATGGATGACTTAATAGCAGCTGGTGCTCCACACAAACGGGAGGTACAACACGTCAACTGTATTTGACAAGAAACAGTAGAATCAACTTACAGGAACGGTACCGTTCCACAACCACGTCACCTAGACCAGCCTGAGTTTGGGTTACATGAACACGTTCATCGCCGTATGATACACAGGCGATGGAGGACTAGGAACCCTGGCGTTTGACGTGCAAAACAGCCCCTCTATGTGGTTCACATGAGGGCACATGACCCAGCAATGCCACAGAGGCAGGTTGACGGGCTGTGACTGGGCAGCATCAAAGCTTGCAGGTTGGGATGAAAAGTGAAATGGCGTGGATCTGCGAGACATAGGCAGACATGCTAGACTTGCAAACAGAATGGCGGTTATGGCTATCACAGGGACCACATGGGTCCATGCAGGTCCTGCATTGCGGGACCAGACATGACTTGCCACAAGCCTCAGGGACAGCATGACTCTCATGGTACAGCTTATCAAGAAGTGTTGGCCACTTACATAGCTTCTCTGCAATTTATTGAGGGGTGTAGCATGGCCTCCCCATACCACAAACCTAAAAATCTAACAAAACCACATAAACAAGGTCACTGTTAAGTCAAGTTGGTGCACTGCTGCATGGCAGGAGGAAATGGTTTGCAGTTTTGATAATAAAAGTGCTTACAAAGTCATAAAACTTAATCCAGTGAATGTCAGGGGACCCCAGCCATCTGCTTTGGCTTCACAAACTAAAACTGCTCACAGTTTGCTCTGCTCATGTATCCTGGACAAGATTACCACTTATCTGCAATACATGTTTTCTTTGCAAAAGCTACTCTCCAAAATTCCTGTGAATGTGGCCTTGGACTCATGGGTAATAGGTAGACACACCATCCATAAATGTACCTACTGCATACCAAAACCTCTTCCTCACATCATTATCTCATGCTCAGACTTAAAATATCTGCAACAGCAAATACAAAGTGATTTGCAACCCAGACAGATGAGGGTGCTTAGGCATGTATGATGACCATCTTGGTCATGGGACAGAGTGAGGTACATTCCAGCTGGCCAGCAGGACAGCATCTATGGACACTCCTCAGGGAGACACATGTGTTGCCCAAGAATTGGCCTAGGAACAGATGCAACAATAATATGGTGCAGATGGAAGATTATCTCCCCCAAAACACAGTGTTTGACAGTGTCTGCTTAGCCCAGTGTCTGAGGTTCAAGCAGAAATACTAACAATCCAAAATTCTACAGGTATTTTACAGTTCTCCATGGCAGTCAAAAGCAGTCCAAACATTTTCCTGGACAGCCTTGCATAGCATAAACTCAACAGTCAAATTGCTACCATTCAGAATGCATGGATTAGGTGTACAGTGATGATTCTGTGCTGCATCTGATGCACATAGCAACTTTTTCACCGACAAAAACAATTAAAATAACAGAAGCAGCACTTCCCTGCATACCCTACTGATATGAAATGTTCACAAATATCAGTAGATTGTTGCCATATTATGTCATGAAACAGCATGTGCCTGTGCTGAAATATCTTAAGCATACAGCACAAACCAGAACCTGCAGACCCACAAGTAGGCCAAAAAGCTGATATAGAAAATCAAATTTTTCTACATACATCAGAGAAAAAACCACATATGGTCTAAACAGCACAAAGTTGGTGACATAGGTAGTTGATTTAATAGGACAAAGTCATACTAACATGCTTTGTGGTGTCCAATACTGTATGGCCTAAATATAAGACCAATGCAAATTTGCACAATGAACAATATAAAACATCCAATGTTATTACTTCACTAGTCCCCTTGTTCTTTTTAGAAGTAATGCCCTCAGAGGGCCAGACATGTGTCTGGATCCCAAGGATGGATCCAGGATTCCAGGCAGAGGTTCAATGTTACAGGATCCTGGTATCTGTTAGAGGCTCCAGCCTCATGTCAGCAGAGGAAAGCTGCATACCAAGTAGCATAAATACTGTCAGCTGCAGAAACACTCATGTAAAATGACAAAAATTGGAAGCATTCCTGTTCAGGAGTATCTTGCACCTCAACCTGTGCAAACTGTGCTGATTAGCCAGGTTGCCATATCCCCATGCAAACTAAAACCACACCAGATGATTTTGGCAGGTTTTGCGAACTAGATGTTTCTAGCCTAATGGCATCTATTTATGGAGTTGTATCCACACTATGTCCATGCTGCTGACATGACTTCTTCAGAGTGCCCAGCCAACTGTACCTATGCTAGCAGCCCTTCCATTCTGATGGAAAGTTGCTTAAAGCACACTGCCTTAGTCACTTTACTACTTGTCCTTGGCAGGTATGGCCTGCAGCTGGCAGAGGCCACACTTAATGTCACCTGACATTAGAGGGCAGGATCAAGGCTATCTAACAGGACGGACCAGGATGGACCAGGATGGGCAGGATGGACCGGCAAAACCCAAACATTGCAGCACATTACACTTTCACTATCACATTCAACTGTGGACTCCAAATTTTGCAGTCTGATGATAAATGATAAGGTGATGATGATTTGGGCTTTGGGGTGCACTGACTACGTTAGTCGTATGGCAAAATGCCAAGGCAGGTCAAGGCCCACCAGCACTGCTTGTCTGCACAAGCTATCTCAGAATTCCTTGTGCTCAGCAGTGTTCAGACCACATCTATAAATTAGACATAAATAATTGTTGGTTCCACCAATCGTCTGACAACTGGATTCAGCCATTTCCATTTTTTAAATGTAAGCCAAGGTACTCTTGGATGCTGAAGCTCTACCTTGGTATCCAGTTGATGCAGTCAACAATAGTGGGCAAGGGGCGGCCTCTCGCAGCATCCTACACCAGATTCTAACTGCATCTCCCAGCTGGAGATGCAAACCTAGTCCCACGCCACCAATTGACGCGCCCAGGCGTATGGGCTCTGGGTCACCTACGAGCCGACCATCCGCATGAAAACGCAGTCTGCCACGATCGCAACAGGGGAAATTCGTCTTTTTTCTACTCTGGTACCTGTGCGGTGGATGGAGGGAAAAGCTACGCTGGTTGCAGGGTTCGCGTACTGTCGTGATGGGGAAATGCTGTGAGGCATCAGCTGATATTGTGACGTCACTGAAAATGGTCTTGCATCGATTGGGGTTCTTTCGGGCCGACTGAAGCCCATAGGCATTTGCTGACGATGTGATGTCACTGGTATTCGACTGGGCATGTGACGTCACTGGTCGTGACGTTTTAGGGCTCTTTCGGGTCAAATGAACGCCGTAAGGCATCACCTGACGATATATCGTCGCTGGTATTCGATTAAACATCAGGCGCAACAGCCCTTATTCCATCTTTACCTCTCGTACCCTCCTGCTGTAAGCATTGGCGTGCTGAGGGGAGGCTCTACTCAATGACCTGTGCATGTGTGACGTCACTGGTCATGAGTTTTTTATGAATTTCTGGGGGCCAACTGAAGGCCATAAAGCATAAACTAACGGTGTGACGTCACCTGGCATTCGACTGTGTGTGATGCTACTTGTCATGGGATTTTACGGCCTCTTTCGGGCCGACGAAAGGTCATACGACATTAACTGAAGATGTGACGTCACTGGTATTCGAATAAACTTCAGGCGCGACAGGCCATGCTCCACCATTACCTTTGGTACCTGTCCATTGCAAGCATTGGAATGCTGAAGGAAGGCTCTGCCGAATTACATGAGTGTGTAACGTCACTGACCATGAATTTGTGTAGAATGTTTTGAACCCACCATGGGCCATACCACATCAGCTGACCATATGACGTCACTGGTTTTCGTCCAGACATCATGCGCAACAGGCCATGCTCTCTCTTTACTTTTCGTACCTGTTTACTGCAAGCATTCGCGTGCTATATCAAGGCGATGCTGAACCATCTGAGCGCGTGACGTCACTGGTCATGAGTATATACATGTTCACTTGGGCTGCCCAATGCAACAAAGCATCATATCCCGTGAAGCATCGCGGGATGATATGACGTCACTGGTGTTCAACTCAACATCAAGCACGACAGGCCATGTTCCATCTTTACCTTTCGTACATGTCTACTGCAAGCATTCGCGTGTTATATCACGTCACTGGTTAAGAGTTCTTACGGGCTCTTTTCAACCCCCATATGGTGTAATGCTTCAGCTGACGATATCATGTCACTGGTGTTCGACTTAACATCAGGCGCAGCGTGTCATTTTCCATCTTTGCCCATCGCGCCTGTTAAAGTATTGGCGAGCCTAATGATGGCTCTGCCGAATCGCCTGAGTTTTTTTTGGCTGAGTGAAAGCCAAAAGACATCAGCTAACGATATGTCGTCACTGGTAATCCACTGAAGGTGAGACGTCACTGGTCATGAGTTTTTACGGGCCTTTTTGGGCCGATCTAAGGTCATTAGGGCATCAGATAGCGATATGACGTCACTGGTATTCAATTAAGCATCAGGTGCAATAAGCCATGTTTCATCCTTACCATTCGCACCTGTCTACTGCAAGTATTCGCGCGCCACATAAAGGCTCTGCCCAATCACCTGAGCGTGTGATGCAACTGGTCATGAGTTGGCACGGACTTACTCGGGTTGACTGAAGGACATCAAGCATCATCTGAAGATGTGACATCACCGGTATTCCACTAAACACCAGCCGCGACAGGTCATCGTCTTTAGCTTTCATACCTGTCTACTGTAAGCATCGGCGTGCTGGAGGAAGACTGTGAAGTCTCTTGAGTGTGTAACGTCACTGGTCATGAGTTTTTACGGGCTGTTTTGAACCTCCCATAGGGTAAAAGACATCAGCTGACGATATGACGTCACTGGTATTTGACTTCACCTCAGGCGCAACAGGCCATTTTACATCTTAACTTTTCGTACCTGGCTACTGCAAGCATTCGCGTGCTATATGAAGGCTATGCCGATTCACCTGAGTATTCACCCACACTCAGGAGGCTCGACAGAGCCTTCATTCAGCATGTCAATACTTGTAATAGACAGGTACGAAAGGTAAAGATAGAACATAGCCTGTTGCGCCTGATGTTAAGTCGGACACCAGTGACGTCATATCGTCGGCTGATGCATTATACCGTATAGGGGCTTGAAATGAGCCCGTAAAAACTCTGGACCAGTGACGTTACACACTCAGGAGACTCGACAGAGCCTTCATTCAGCACCCCAATACTTGTGATAGACAGGTACGAAAGGTGAAAATGGAACATGGCCTGTCGCGCCTGAGGTTAAGTCAAATACCAGTGACGCCATATCGTCAGCTGGTGTCTTATACCCTATTGGGGGCTCCAGAGAGCAAGAAGAAACTCATGACCTGTGATGTAACACACCCAGGAGATTCCAGACCCCTCCTTCACCACGCCAATGCTGGCAATAGACAGGTACGAAAGGTAAAGATGGAACATGGCCTGTCGCGCCTGGAGTTTAGTCTAATACCATTGACATCATATCGCAAGCTGATGCTTGATGTCCTTTAGTCAGCCCGAGTAAACCCGCGCAAATTCATAAGTAGTTACACCACACGCTCAGGTAATTCGGCAGAACCTCTACGTGTCGCGGGAATCCTTGCAGTAGATAGGCGCGAAAGGTACAGACGAAACATGGCTTATTGCATCTGATGTTTAGTTGGACACCATTGACGTCATATTGTTATATGATGCCTAATGGCGTTAAGTCGGTCCAAAAAGGCCCATAAAAACTCATGGCCAGTGACGTCACACACTCAGTGGACTACTAGTGACGGCATACCGTTAGCTGATGCTTTATGGCTTTCACTCGGCCAAAAATGACCTGTAAAAACCCAAGACGTCGCACACTCAGGTGATTCGCCAGAGCCATCATTCAGCTCGCCAATACAGGTACGAAACAGGTACGAAAGGCAAAGATGGAGCATGACCTGCTGCGCCTGATGTTAAGTCGAACACCAGTGACGTCATATCGTTAGTTGATGCATTATACCGTATAGGGGGTACAAAGATCCCATAAAAAGCTCTTAACCAGTGGCGTTACACAATCAGGAGATTCGACAGAGCCTTCATTCAGCACGCCAATATTTCCAAGAGACAGGTACGAAAGGTAAAGATGGAACATGACCTGCTGCGCTTGATGTTAAGCCTGAATGCCAGTGATGTGATATCTTTCCGTGATACACCATGGGATGATTCTTTGTGGCCTTGGGCGGCCCAGGCGAACCAGTATAAACTCACGACCAGTGACATCACACACTGAGATGACTCAGCATCGTCCTTGATGTAGCACTCGAATGCTTGCAGTAGACAGGTACGAAATGTAAAGATAGAGCATGGCCTGTTGCGCATGATGTCTAGTCGAAAGCCAGTGACATCATATCCGTCAGCCTGATGTATTGTGGCCTATAGTGGGTTCAAAAGAGTATACAAATTTATTGTCAGTGACGTTACACATTCAGGTAATTCGGCAGAGCCTTCATTGAGCACGGCAATGGTTGCAATGGACAGGTACCAAAGGTACAGGTGGAACATGGCCTGACGCGCATTAAGTTTATTCGAATACCAGTGACGTCACACCATCAGTTAATGCCGTATGACCTTTCGTCTGCCCAAGAGGCCGTAAAATCTCATGACTAGTGACATCACGCACAGTCGAGTGCCAATGACGTCACATCGCTAGCTGATGCACTACGGTCTTCAGTTGGCCGCAAAAAAAATCCGCCAATACTTGCAGTAGACATGTACGAAAGGTATAGAAGGAGCATGGCCTGTTGCCCAATGTTCGGCCGAATACCAGTGACGTCATATCGCCAGCTGATGCCTTACGGCATTTCGTCGGTCCTAAAGCGCCCGTGAAAACCCACGACCATTGACGTCTTACAATCAGTCGTATAGCAGTGACGTCGTTAGCTGACACCTTGTGGCCTTCAGCTGGCCCAAAAGCACCGGTGAAACTCATGACCAGTGACGTCACACACTCAGGTGGTTCGGCAGCTTTCATCCAGCACGCCATTGCTTGCAGTAGACAGGTACAAATGCAAAAATGAAGCACGGCCTGGTCCGCCCAGTGTTCATTCGAATACCAGTGACGTCACGCTATCCGGAGATACTTCATGGACCATGACATAACATGACGGACCATGTCATCAGTGTGCAGTCACGTAATTGCCTCGTCCGCACCGGCTCCTCCATCTCTCTCATATCAGACACCATCTTTAGCCAATTGTCCAGTCAGGGTATACATTGCCACCTCATGTTAAAAACAGCATTGTGCATCAATCGTCGTTTTTCAAGGCAGACCATATCGTAATTGATCGTAAAACAGGTCATTTAAACTCTTACCTTGGAACTTAAATAACTACGATAGCGAACATCCGAGCGCTGCAAACACGCAACAACCGCGGCCCCGGCGCCATTGCTACGCATGATCACAACATTACTGCGTGATCACAACATTATTACGCATTAAGAACCATAAGAATGTACGAGGCCAAGGTAACAAGAATTCATTGAAATATGTTTCTTACGTATCCAAGCAGCCTTTCGTATTGTTTGTAGATTGGTCGACATGGTGCGGAAATATGACGTTTTTGGGTGGGAATGAAAAGCAAAATGAGAATATGGCAGCTAAACAAAACTTCTTAATACAGTACACATATATGGCATGGAACATGGATGCCAATGGGACACTGGGTTGAAGGGGATAGGGTGGGGGGGGGGGGTAGGTAAGGTTAGGTTAGGTTAGGTTAGATAAGGTTGGGTTAGGTTAGGTTAGGTTAGATAAGGTTGGGTTAGGTTATGTTAATTTAGGTAAGGTTGGGTTAGGTTAGGTTAGGTTAGGTTAGGTTGTTAGGTTAGGCTAGGCTAGGTTTAGTTAGGTTAGGCTCGGCTAGGTTAGGCTAGGCTAGGTTAGGTTAGGCTATGTTAGGTTAGGTTAGGTTAGGTTAGGTTAGGTTAGGCTATGTTCTGGACTGGTCTGGCCTGTCCGT